ATATCGCTTCTTATTAAATCCTGATTTCTAACATTGGCTGCTTCTAATCAGCTGGCAACACAAATAGGTTCCCAAGAAAGTAGTAACCGGTCCGTATCCCTCCGCTCCTTGTTTATGCTACGCGCATTGAGAAAGTAGTTCCGTATATTTTCTCGATTTTCAGTGAATTCCGCGCCTTAAAAAATGTTTTAACGGCATTTTCTTGTTTATTAAAATCATAGGAATGTTTTAAAAACGTTAAAAATAAAAGTATAGAAAGTTCAGAAATACCTTGTTTACATTTTTCTTGTAAACAAAAAAACTGTCATAACTACTTTAGTCCCATAAGCCTAATGTTAAAAATTTGAAATTTTAAGTTCGTTTTAAATTGCATTAGCATTATCTAATTGAAATTCGTTTGTTTACAAACCATCTCATTATTAGTCTAAGTAGTCTTGTTAAGTTTGGCTGAAATGTGTTCAGCCGTTATTGAGTGATGGTGTTATATTGTTTGCATTGAAGTTGATCCCAAAGAGCTTCGCTCGCTCCGCTCAATTAAAATATGGACCTAGGTGGAATCCACATCTCAATTGGTAATATAATAACAGCTAACGTAGGCCCCTACCTTAAAGTAAATGTTGGGCTTCTCTTTGTTCAGCCTGATTCCCACACTTTCCAGTTCTTTCTCCAACAAGGCTCGTTGAACGTCTTGTTTGGTTGCGTCCAGCATCATGAGCACCAGATCAGCTGTTCGAGCTACTGCGATGACCTGAACAAGAAAACCATTAGATTATAAAGCTGAAGGTGATCTGAAACAAAGGGTAAATAGAGCCTTTAGAGCATTTGATATTTAAAACAAAGTACGAAGAACAATACGATATCTAGATGATAGGCTTCCAATGTAACAGCAGATTGTCATATCTAGGTCTTCGGGTGATGACTGTGTCATTGAATAAGCAAGTTTAATTTTTGTGTAGTCTCGAGTCACTTAGGCCTAATATTAAATAAGAGGTTAATTTATGGTGGGTAAGCCTCTGGATAGTAAATTGCAATATAAAAATGGTTTATGTTACCTTTTTGTGTCAAACGATCTATGTGTGGTTAGTCTCAACTACAGCTGTTTCATGTCCCTAGGGCACATCTTCAGGATGTCAGAAGAACGTTAGATAAAAAGCGCATTCATCCGTGGATGAATTTTTTGAGATATGCCATGTCTATTAAATACGAAATACACAAAAAACAACATTTAAATGATACAAATTTACAAACTTGGCCAAGGGATGAACACACGAGACAGGCGCCAGTGGATGTTGCAACATGACGCAACATGTAAAATTAATACATTAATGCATGATAACTAGGGCTAAAAAAGATCAATATCAATGATTCCCTAGCCTATCAAATATGCCAACCTGTCTTCCTCTTCCTTTGCCTTGCGATGCACCTTCAATGATTCCTGGCAGATCGAGCAGCTGTATGTTGGCACCCTTGTACTCAATTACGCCCGGGATACACGTCAGTGTTGTAAATTCGTACGATGCTGCCTCCGACTCAGTGTGCGTCAAGGTAGACAACAGGGTTGACTGAAAAAACCAACAGGTTTGGAGTTTGACCTTTGACATTTATAGTACTAGACATCATTCAATACTATAAAGTTGTTGCCAATTGTAGAATAAAAAATGGCAGTGTGTGCAGATATAAAATAAAAATACTGATTTCTGTTGAATATTTAAACTTTACTCAAAGGTCTTTTAGCTGTCTGTTGATTTGCGTTGTTTGTTAGTGTGGTAGAGAGGACTGACCAACAGCCAAGCGGGCTAAGGCGTTCATGCTCGGAGACAGTACTATTAGCAGAGGATGGGCATTTTGTTCCGTATAGACAAAAAAAAATAAAGTTATATTGAAATGAAACTGTTCTTAACCAACCTAACATAGGCAGCCAAACTTGCTGTAAACTTACCATTTCAAAATTCTGTTTGATATTCCCCATTGGCCTATGCCTTTTCTGTTATCAAACGGAATTTTGAGATGGTACAGCAAGTTTGTTCAGTCATTTTAGTTTAGACAGTTTAATTTCTTAATCCATATACCGGTATATTATTTTTGACTAAACAAGATCAGTTGTTAATTTATAATTTAAATGCGATTGAATATACCTAAAACAGAAGGAATATGGATCGTAAAGGAAAAAAAAATACTGTATCGATAACTTATATCTTAAAAAATCATCACTAATAATGAACGTTCCCCTTAACAGGAAAGTACCTAGTTGACAGCTTAATGATCTTATTGGCTAGGCTATATAAAATCAAATTGATTTAGCTTACTTTACCGACTGAAGGGAAGCCTATTAAAGCTACACGAGCGTCTCCAGATTTCAAGACATCAAATCCCTCTCCTTTCTCAGATTTTTTTGAGGGTTCTAGCAACTGAGCTCTATACTTAGCAAGCTTTGCCTTCAATACTCCAAGATGGTATTCAGTAGCTGAAACATTTCATTATTTTTACTAAAATATTAGCACCACCTGTCAAGGTTTTCCTCAATAAGTAAGGCCTATGTTAGAGATGTGACTAGTGTGTGTAGTGAAGTTAAACTCTTCATTTAGGAGATATCCAAGAATACCTTCTACGCACCTTAAAAAAATGTTTTAAGTTAACTTACCTAAAGATGAAAGAAAGTCCAGAAATACCGATTTTGAGGGTAGAAGGTGTGTGGGCCGTTGTAGCTCAAACGCTAGCTGTATTGAAATAATATGATAAAGTTCTGGGACAGTGACGTCGTCCTGTAATCCAGATACCTGGAGGTCATGAATTGTGGGAATTTATAGCAGGATACACTGTGGATAAGGTACTCCCTGGTGTGGATTAACGTCCGTACTAGTGAGTACTACGACTATCCGCAGTTAGTACTATCCTGATAATTAGACCAATTCGTTAATACCAAGGCAAGAATGTGGTTTGGATTCCACTATAAACTGTAGGTCACTAAGTTGCCATTGGCTGTTTAGACTATTAATTAACAGCTGTGTCTAAGGAATATGTCGGCCTTAGTCACTAACAAGACTACAAGATCGCGCCACTCATCCTTCACTCATATTTGAGTTTAAATATGCACATAGTGGCGTCCCTGTCTTAAACAATTGATATAATTGAATCAAAACAATAATAACTGTAATGTTCAAGCCAATCAAGCAAGACATTCTTCTCATGCCAACTTGACTCGAGCCTTTGGTCACATTGTTCTTAAATACAGTATTAGATAGGCCTAGGCTACTAGATTTTTGTGGCTTTAGAAAACCTAACCTACAATTTTGAGGTAAATTGTGTTTGGGCGTTATAAATTGAGTAAAATAAAGTAGGTACGTTTTAAATCATTGAAAAATTACACTGGGCCCTAACTGTGAGTTGCTTATTAAAAAAAAAAAAAATAGTAAGTTGATCTGCAGTTATATTTAGGGGTTAGGTTAATTTGTTTAACTTAGTATGCTACTTTACCTTTGTTTTTTTGAGTCCGAGCAATTTCTTTTTCTATTTCAGATATTTTTTCTAATATACCCATTGTTTTAAAAGCTTAACTTGGCAAATGGTGTTAGTTACACTTCAATAACAGGCTCTAAAATAAAAACATCTTCAAAATGTCACGTTTGTTTCTTTTCTTCTGCTGAGAAGAGAGTGAGAACAACTAACAGAGAAGTACAAAAATAGGAGGGTTGCGTTGCGGCTGCGAAGTGCGAACTCGAACGAACTAACTGCGGCGACCCCCGGGCGACCGGCGGACACGGATTGGGCAGGAGTGCTGCAGGTTGCAAGCAATCTAATCTGACGACAGGGACAGGATCTGCGTGCTGTGTTTTGTTTTGATCGATGGGATGGGAAGTGCGAAGTTGAAGTTAGTTGCGTTGCAGCATTGACTTTATATCTGTTGCAGTATCAAACAAACAGCTGTTAAAAAAATTTAACATATTTAAAGACTGAAGATGTATTTTTGAACCATGTTATTTACTTCATGAAACTGCTGTGCTTTCGTTGTTTCGAACGATCGTTGTCCATGAATATTTATTTATTATGAGACCAAATAAAGCTTTCTGTTCTTTATCGTGGTTTCGTACATAAAACCTGATATTACACCTGCTACATTGTTTTTTTTGTCACAAAACGTATGTAATTTTGTAAAAATAATTCAAGGAAGAAAAGATATTGCAACTTTCCTTCTATAAAAATATCATTGTTACTCTCACCACTTACCCATGATAAAGGCTCATTGACAAGCTTATGGGAGAAAGTAACTTATTTGTCAGATTAGATTGCTGATATCGTTTAGGTGGCTGTATTTACCCACGGCCGCCTTTTACTCCAGGCAGCGGCATTCGAAGTGGCAACGTCGCAAGTAGGGTTGTAACAGCTGTTTTGTTTGGAAGCAGCTAATGGTATTTGTGTATTTACGAAAGCTGAAAGCTTGTTTACTGGACGATGAAAGTTAATTGGCTCTGCCTTAATGTACAGATATATATTTTTCAATTCATATTGTTTTTGTTTTAAATTCCGTTTGTTTTATTTCAATATTTTAATAAATTTATCTTCATAAATTTTAATTTAAACGAATAATACGTGAATTAATGAATGGGTGTCACCTGTCTGCCATGTTATCTTATGGGACGTCTGACACTAAACAACACCACTTGCAACGTTGCCAATTCTATCAGGCCGCGGCCTGGAGTTAGAATTTACCTTTTTAGGTGGCCGTGGTGGTACCGGCCACCGGCACCACCAAACTGGAATTGAATTGGCAACACTGGTTCAAGTTCTTGTCGTTCTTGTTGAAGTTCATGTTCTTTTCTCTTTCCATGTTTATGTGCAATGCAAAAATGCAAACTTGGCTTGGCTTTGGCTAGGCCTTTTTCTTTTCTTTCACTTGACTGTCAGTGTCAGTAACATAATATTATTGTGTTTAATAGGTTAATGACAAGACAATTCCTTCAAAAGTTTCATTTCCGATCCGATGTGAATATACACACCTTCTCTTAAACTTATTTTTCTTCAAGAAAATCAACCAAAATGGGTACTATGTTGGTTAACAACAATTATTTTAGGCAGAGACTTAGGCAAATGGAAGAATTGTATCCAGAACCTCCAGCCCTAGGAGATTGTGATTGCACGTCATATTCATATTTTGTCCTCTCAGTTTTATTTTTTACTTTTGGATCTTTTATAACAGTGTTGGCATTAAGTGGGGGTGATTATTTGTACCTCCACCTCGGTCATATGTGGTTGGTAGGCCCAATATTATGTTGTTCTGGAATAATGGTTGCAGTAAAAATCATTTTGTACTTGAGAAGAAAGAGTGTTATTCAGATGCTTTTACGGCAGAGGACTTTATTAAGGGTAAGTTACGTTTAATTGGGGGTTGATTCTTACTGTCAGTTTTGAAAAATTCACCAGGATTTTCCTGATTAGCAAAGCTTAGGGTGTATTCAAGTGAACAAATGAGGGTATGTCTAGACCCGCTGCACTTTACTTTAGGTCCTACACTCATTCGAATGAAAATATCGATCATTCAATCGTTTGGTTAATTAGGTTAGGTTAACCTTACCTAACTAACCAAACGATATAACTTACACAGAGGATACGCGTCCGGTAACCAGACGTGGACTAGGCGTCCGGTAGTGATGTCACCGGGTTGTGGGGTCCCGGAACGCCATTACCACAACGATACGATGTTCGGCCAGCGTTGTTCGTGGTGTAGTGGATAGAGTGCTCGGCTGATATCCAAGAGGTCCCTGGTTCGAAACCCGTCGGTTTCTTTAACTTTTTGTCACAGATTTTGCTTTGAATGTAATTTCTTCTTAACTTTACATCTTTTGTTAGAATTTTTGGCATTTATAATTTTATGTTACGAAGAGAATTGAACCTTCATTTGATTTTTTTCACTATCAGCAAGTTTGGTTGGTTAGGTTAGGTTATGACAGTAACTGCCGGACGCCTAATCCACGTCCGGGTACCGGACGCGTATCCTCTGCGTATAACTTATCGAATAATCGATATATCGATCAATATTTTCATTCGAATGAGTGTAGTAGTAGCTTATGAGTAGGCCTACCTAAAGTATAGTGCAGCCTAAAAATTCGCCTAGTCTGCAGGTTTGCTGCGGCGGGGGGTATTTGATTTTTATTGTAACAAAACAAAATGTTAATAATTTGTCATTTTTACGTTAACTTCCAGATTACATTGAATATACAAATCTTGTGATTTACCTAGGTCTACATTTAAATATGTATTTACCTTAAAATCCTACTTGTTATACGCATTAGGTATTGACAGACAAATTCATTGAATTCCCAGTTCAAATTTAAAAAAGGTAAACTCATAAACTTAGGGCGAATCGATTTATGTGTCCTGTTAGTAGTGTTCTGGATCTTAAATAGGTAGGCCTACTGACATAATTAAATCAGGTAAAATTGATAATGTGCTACATGTCCAGGGACTACAGGAGATAGCACAACAGGGCCAGCATGGTGTTTGTACTCTCTCTGTTATGACGAGAACTCCAAGCACTTTGACTCTGCCTCCCTCCTATGATCTACTAATGGGGGCAGCCGTCGGACCTTCAGAACCCCCACCACCCTCGTACGAGGAAGCTATGTTCCTCATTGGAGATGAAAAGTCAAGAGCTCTGCTTGAGAACAGGCAAAATACAACGTAAGTTTTCATTTTACTTCAGAAATGGTTACTTACTTATTCATTAAGGTCTTGCCAAAATTTTGAATGTACTCTCACGGATTTAACATTTTATTTTAAGTTACTTACAGTTTTTTTTTTTTTTTTTTGTTTTTTTTTACGCTGAATCCAAAAATAGCCTACTAGGCCTACATCATTTTACCTATAACAGTTTTTAAACTAAGTTAGCCATTGCAGTTCAGTTCTTAGAATTGAAAAGATTTACTTAACAGCATTGTGGTTTTACTTTACAAGTAACGGACCAACGAGGTTCAAGGATTAAGAGAAATAACATTTCACATTTGGTCCATACAATTTACAATGAATAAAACCCTATCAATTGATGGGCGAATCTTTTTTTCTCGTACTAGCAAATCCTACACCTTAGCTTTCAAACATGCTACTTGTTTGTTGTAATTTGTTGTGAACAATGAAACCTAAACTACGCTCTAGGTTTTGCTCTGATGTCAATAACAGCATTAACAGTTAAATGAATTATTTCAAAATGTTACTTTTTGTTTTCAGCATTGACAACCAAGGAAAAGAAACCGTTTGAAAGCCTACATTTCACTTAGTAAGTTATAGTTTTATCAATACAGTGATGAATTTAACAAATCTTTTAGCTTTAATTAGACCCATTGTTAATTTTTAACTTTTCATTTTGTAGCTCTTGACATAGAATAGGATGCAAAAGACAGATGTAAGATTTGTCCATCTTTTTGTTAAAAATATTATCTTTTTGATTATCCAATAATAAATTATGTATATTAAGATGCTGTTTTCTTATGCTTAAATATAATATTGGTTGATTAGGTCTCTTTAATTTGTTTACACTTGTTATAAGTTGTAATATCTGTAATTTATCATTGTATTTATTTTTAACTACTGATGACTGAGTTCAAATCATTCAGTATTAAAATTGATAAATATGTTAATTATGGTTATACTGGTGCTTTAACGGTCCAACAATTTTGTGTTGGTTGTAGTTACTTAGTAAAATAAGGCGCAAATATTTTAATATTGGTTTTTTCTAACAATTTGTATTGTTTTCTCATGTTTACAATAAGAGTCAGGATTGATGATGATTTTCTAACATGATGATCATGAGATGAAAACAGTACCACATTGTTTTGTTACAATACATATTTTACATTTTAATCCCATTTGGGTAAACTTAATCGTCTTTCAGTGATGTGTGTGTTTTTTTTCTTCTTTAAGGAAAGGCAATTGGACAAGGGTAATTTGCCATCAGTTTGCAAAGACGTAGATGAGATTTTCAATTATTATGTTTTATGAATTTTTCTTCTTTATGGAATTTTAAATTTATACCTTAATTACTTCAATATTTTAAAGCTGCTTGTTTTAATCCATTTTATAACAAATTTTTACAATTACTTATTGGTAGGCCTATATCACGATTGTACTGATTTTTGTTAAGGTTCATTGTTGACAAAGTTAAATGCTTTAGCCTAACAAATGATACCGTGGAAATTTTCCATCACTGTAAAAGACACTTTATAATCACCATTGAATCTTTTTTCAATCTTAAGGAGTATTTAGGTGCTACATCTACAAAAACAACTTATAATGTTTTCAAAACTTTGAAAATATCTTGTCTACCTTGTTAACATATGTTGTAAACTATGGTTAAACCGTAATACCGTAAAATTTTTATTCTTATATAGTGTCCTATATTGTACATTAGCTTAGTATTTTAAACCTTTTTGGCCTTTTTAGGCGTAGTCCTTAATGCGTGTATAGTGTTAGTCTATGTAGCATAACTTGTACGAAGTTGAACAATATTGTGTAAAAATATCAGAATATTTACTTAAATAGGACTTGTTTTAAGTCATATAGTGAGATCTAAGGTATTATTGTTAGACTTGACATTAAATATATATTTTTCTCACTTTTTATACGGCTTTAAGTCTTAGTTTATGTTCTGGTTAGTGTCATTTTTTAATGGTGATGATTGCTTTTATTTATATTCACTTGGTGTGCTTCCTTTAGTAGTAACTTTATTGTTTAGTGTTACTAAGTCTTGAGTATTGTTTTGGTTTTACATTGTGATAAAAGTCTTAGTTGATAGTTTTAATAGATCAAAACTAATTTTGATAATCAAAATGGTAGTGATGAAAAAATATTGGTACTTAAAATAGAGGATCAAATGAATGTAAGAAAAACTCAAACAGTGCAAATGGATGGTTAGTTTTTGCCCCACTTCTCTATTTTAATGGACTTTCAACGCATAAATTTATTCTGGAAAACAGCTGTTCACATTCTGTTGAGTCACATGGGATCTCATTATGTACTACTGTAATGCATTTTGCCAGACACTGTCTGATTATAATTACTTCCAGTTATTAAGAACCTTATATACGATTTTTTAAACATAAATAATTATCAACGTAACAAAATTTACACCTAACCTAGTTTTCTAAAGATAAAATCACAAAAAGGTTTGTAACCACATACAGTAGTCTAATATTCCACTGGCAGTCCATGGGTTATAAACGAAAACATCAGTCAGTAGGTTATAGACAAAAACATAAACTCTTTGAAAAGTTATGAATACTGTATTAGCAGTTAAGTTCTTAGCCTTTAACCGCTCGTGCGGGGGTATTAGTCCAGGAGCTGAGGGGGGTTGAGCATGCATGAAAGTAGTACGCAATGTTATTGCTGATTATTGTAATATGGACTGTGGTGATCAAAATTACGTATGTCGCCTATTTCAAAAGTGGTCGATAAGGTGGGGGGGAGGGGGCAAACATGGCGGTTTGCGCTATGCGTTAAAACGCTGATAGTTCGAAAACTGAAAAAGATAGAACATCGGTTAAAACGTCGTTGTAATCCTAAAAATGTGGACAACAATAATGGTCATTGGGTCTGAGGTCGTATCTCTATAAATAAACAAGTTATTGTATAAAATATGTAAAAATGGACTTTTCGTGTAGATTTTTTACCGAAAGTAGAATTAATTTGTGAGTGTCGCAAAGAAGTAATATCAAATATCTTTGCTGATAGTTGTAATATGGACTGTGGTGATACAAAATACGCATGTCGCCTACTTTTCAGGTGGTCGAGAACTTGGGGGGAGGGGGGCAAAGATGGCGGAACGCGTTATACATCGAAATGACTGTAGCTCGAGAACGGTACGAGATAGGACATCGGTTAAAACGTAGTTTTAATCCAAAAAATATTACCAATAGAAAAGGTCATTGGGTAAAAAGTCGTATCTTAACTAATAAAAAAGTTATAACAATAATAAGTTTAACAAAATCTACAACGTACAGCTATTTTTTTCGAAAATCGTATGGATTGTTGATAAATAATAGTGTAGCCTAATTACTTAATTACTCGGCTAAATATTAACTATAGGTCGGCCGCTTAGAAAACGACCTCCTCCAGCATTGGTTTAGCATTAGCGCGCAGGTCGTTTTCTAAGCGGCCGAACTATAGATGCATTTTCTTATAAGAAAAAAATATATTATTACGAATACATATGGTTTAAAATGTAAAACACGGCCTCCAAACGCCTTAGGGTTCGTCCGTTAGGTTGCGTTATAATTGCTGCTGTTTTTAAAATAATGATTGCTTGTATTTTGTATTTCATTATACACTGAGTATATAAATGAAATAATGATAAATAAATAATCAAACAAATAAGATAATAATTAAATATGAAATATAATATATAGTAGTTTAATTCCATTGTAAATATAAACACCATAAACTTTAAATTTCTTGACCGCTCTCATGCATTAATTATATATAGATGTATATACATTTGTATCAAAGAAAATATTTACAATTTTTTATTTGTATTAAAGGTGCTAAGAGAAATTAAAAAGGTACCTATTTAAATTCAACAAATAATAGGAACAACCAGTGTAATTGTTATGGATAGAATGAAGAGATTTGCCGTATTTTTTATTATAAGGTATTTACTTTTGTTGTAATGTTTTTTTATTTCATATAACTGTATTAAATAATAATCTGTTACATAATCATATTGTAATAACCTACAACATTATAATAATTAAAATTGGATTTGTAGTGGTAGTCTGTATTATGCATTTGATTGCGGCGAAACCCCAAGTATTATATGTAGTATGGAGGCCGTGTTTTACATTTTAAACCAAATGTATTCGTAAAAATATATATTTTTCTTATAAGAAAATGCATCTAGTTAACATTTAGCCGAGTAATTAAGTAATTACACTATTATTTATCAACAATCCATACGATTTTCGAAAAAAATAGCTGTACGATGTAGATTTTGTTAAACTTATTATTGTTATAACTTTTTTATTAGTTAAGATACGACTTTTTACCCAATGACCTTTTCTATTGGTAATATTTTTTGGATTAAAACTACGTTTTAACCGATGTCCTATCTCGTACCGTTCTCGAGCTACAGTCATTTCGATGTATAGCGCGTTCCGCCATCTTTGCCCCCCTCCCCCCAAGTTCTCGACCACCTGAAAAGTAGGCGACATGCGTATTTTGTATCACCACAGTCCATATTACAACTATCAGCAAAGATATTTGATATTACTTCTTTGCGACACTCACAAATTAATTCTACTTTCGGTAAAAAATCTACACGAAAAGTCCATTTTTACATATTTTATACAATAACTTGTTTATTTATAGAGATACGACCTCGGACCCAATGACCATTATTGTTGTCCACATTTTTAGGATTATAACGACGTTTTAACCGATGTTCTATCTTTTTCCGTTTTCGAACTATCAGCGTTTTAACGCATAGCGCAAACCGCCATGTTTGCCCCCTCCCCCCCACCTTATCGACCACTTTTGAAATAGGCGACATACGTAATTTTGATCACCACAGTCCATATTACAATAATCAGCAATAACATTGCGTACTACTTTCATGCATGCTCAATCCCCCTCAGCTCCTGGACTATATGACATACCCCCACGTAAGATAATTTTGTCATAATGTTACAAGTATGGTGGCAACCCTGGTGAGCATCATCTGGCCGCAGGGTTGTTAGTCTTGATCTGATAACACCAGCCTGGGTCTGGCATACCCCCACGCGCGTGTTTGTGTTACCGGAACTGTGTTCATTGGGGGGTCTAGTTTAACCCCATTCGCACAGTAGTGTATCAGTATTAATAAATTGATTACTTTATTATTTATAATTTTCATAGTATTGAAAGTTTGCCAAAAAACTTAGTATCTGTAAACCAATTTGATGGAAATGTCCAACCATAGAATCAACTCAGCCTCCCAGTGCAAAGGTGCGGTGCACCGTTTGATGATGACAGAAAGACTGCCCAGACCAAATTTAAGTGTAAACTTCTAAACCAACCACAGGACGAGGATTTAAAAAAAAAAAAACATAAGTACACTATCAAAGAAAGTGTTTAATTCCCTTAATTTATTGTACATTATTTCCTATTAACTTCCAATTCATGACATTTTTACTGCTTCCATGGTTTTAAAAAAATAATATTATACTTTTGTAAAAAAATAATACTTGTTTGCAATAAAAACTTGTTTAGTTACGATTTCCCCCTACTTAACACCATTATTACATTTCATCATGAACAAATGAAAGGTTCAAACTATTATTTTCAAATTACTAAAAGTATATGGTAGGATCTTAAAATTTACTTAACAATATGAGAAAATGAATGCAGATATTACGTTTAAAGTGTTAAATATAATAAACTTTTTTATACCCATTTTTATTTGGGGGTCCACTAGACCTCTGTGCGCGCTCCAGCGTAAAATAATGAGCGCACACGCTTAAGGGTTAAGTTGGTTAGAACACATAGGTTAATGGATTTTGACTTGTTTTTTTATTGTTATGTTAATTTAAAGTAGTATGGCAAAACATATCATTCGTCACTTGTTTAAAATTTATCAATACACCTATTTTATGGACTAAAATAATGTACTATTGTGTTCATAAGTTGTGTATTGTTGAAAATAATTGTTGCGATTAAAAATGAGCTTATTGGCAGCAAGTTAGGGCCTATGCCGACTTTTAGCTATCGACTGTATTTTACTTGGAAATGCTTAATTGTTACGGGAGAGGTTGTTATGCAGGGCCCAAAGTTTTACCGGGTAGTATTTTGTATTTTTGTGCAGAGAAAGGTCAAATTTTATGTACGTTGGACGGATTAAAACTGTGCTACTATACGAAATACAGCCCAAAAAAATAACATAATGTGGACCAAAGGTGCTGAGTTTGTAAAATGCCAAGTCATTGGAAAAAGGCAAAAAATTTAAACTTAGGTATAATAATGTACATTTGATCTTTTTTACTCAATAATTGCAACCTCTATTGTGCAAGCTATATTATAATTTTAATCTGCCCCTCGGGAAGTCTGGTGGCTATGAAATGAACATCTATGATGGTTCTGAGTTTGTGTAACCATCCTCCCATGAAGCCCTAAAAATAATGTAACCATACAAATTATTCGCAAATCAGTTCTTCAAGACAAATCAAAATGTATTTTAGTGAGGCCATGGTTATGTAATCTAAGCTTATGTTAGAGGTTGTGGTTTGTCGTTTTGCTGATTTTCATTTTTGTGACTTCATTCAAAGTATTTTTTACTCCACACCTAAATTGGTTGAATCCGACTTGGTTTTTGTGGTTTGTTTGAAACCAAAGAAACAAAAATGTTGTGAAAATAACTTAGTTTTTAAGTTATTTTCTTTAATTGTTTTGATATTGATTTAGTCTATTAGTTAATAAAACTGCCTTTCATTGTTATCTTATAGGTGTACAGTAGTTAAAAATATCTTTTTTGTTTGGATCAGGTAAAATAAACTTTGGTCGTAAATTATCTGGCATATCTGGACTTTGGGCATCAATTATGATGCTATTCAAGTATTGTACGTTGACTACATATTAAAGACTGTATTGCTTTAAGTTTTAAGTTTTTCTATTGTATTTTGCCAGTTACATAATTTTAAGTTGAACCAATTCTAGTTTTTGAATTGCATGTAAATAGTTTGGCCGTTGTGTTGTTTATTTTTGTGCATTATGTAAATCTTGTGCAAATATTAGTAAAGTAATAGAATTATTATAACATTTTAAATAAAAGATATTATTGTTGAAGGAGTTGAGTTCTTACATTATTTGCCCTATCATCATTATTTCTTTTGAAACAGAACCACTACCTAGTCTGTATTTTAAGCTGGACATGAATACAAAATGGGTGAGATACATAGGGTATCACAGCTGATTAGATTGATAGGTATAGGGTATGATTTATAGTGAAAATTAGAAAGAATTAGTAAGTAGCTTTCCAAGGATACCAGGAGCATTTATTAATAGTTCTATAAACAAAGGCTGCTGGACCCAGCTCTGAACGTGAAAAAACTTAAATTTCTATGGATCGAACAGACTAACGTTTTAATTGTGATTCTCAACCCAAAAATTGCACATTGGAGATATAACTAATGATTTCCACAAAAACAGGTAACAAAACTAAGAAAGATGGATTTTAAGATCTTTTTTAAACTTAACTTTTACTAGAGGCAGAAACTGATACAAATACAATTATGGTATTGGCTTAGACAAATACATCGACGGTTCAATAATGGTCCTCAAAGCAAATTCAATTATAGACTGGTTTCAGGTGTAAGAGGCTCAACATAACAAAAGATAGAGCCAATCAGTATTTTACTTCAGTTTAGTGTGATTTTACAGAAGCACCTAATCGATTAACGCTACAAAGCAAGGAGGAATCATATATCTCAGCTCAGGGTGGCAGAACAGAAGTACTCAAATATATTATTTTTACAGAAATTGTATTAACAACCAAAAGGAACATAATATTTACACTATAGAATTGAACTAAAAACTCTTTACAATTCATAACATATGAACAACTCAACATTCTCAATACAAATTGTACAACCTAAGTATATAACATTAGTTATTGAAATAAAAAGTACCTATTTCAGTTACCTTATCTAGATCCAATATACCAAATTTGTTGTTCACTTAACACAAGCAGGCAATACACAGTAATAATTTATTTAAAAGTTGAAATCCATTTCACAAAAATTCATTTTTATAATGTAAAAAATACTAACAAAAATATCATGTAAAAATAAATGTGACAACTGAAAAGGTAATACCAACAAACCTAACCAAACCCCTGAAGGAGTAGCGTATCACTGAATAATGTGTTAAATTCTTTTAATGCCTAGTAACTGTGTACCAAGTTTTAAAGCTTATCATTATTTTTTGAGATATTTAAGTGACCAAGGACTTTTTACCCGCCCTGTACAGCTGATGACTAAGATAAACCTATGTTGAGAAGTAACATAGTTAATGTAACCTTTGTAAACTTGTTTATGTACTTAGGCGGTGGGGAACAGGGGAGGGACTATGGCTAACATGTCTTCTAGTGTCAGCGTTCGCCGCTAGAACCACTAAGTTGAAAAATTTAAATTATTTTTTTAAATTATAAGTTATAAAATTAACTTTTTAACTATACAAAAAAATGTTAATTATAAAATAAATTTTAAAATGTTTAATTATAAAATTAAACTGTCATAAGCTAACCCAACCAACCAAACTTGCTGATAATATAAAAAATATATAGGATAAAAATCTAATGAATTTAAATTTTTAATCATAAAATTAATTTTAAAATTTAGTATTATAAAATTAAACTGTCATGACCTAACCTAACCAACCAATCTTGCTAATAATATAAAAAAGATAGGAGATAAAATCGAATAAAGGTTTACTATTACCTACACAAAAATGCTGTTCATAAATAAAATTATAAATGCATCAAATTCTAACAAAAGATGTACAGTTACAAAAAGTTAGTGACAACTCTAGGGACGACCCTGGTCACTAGAGATATGACGTCACCACACCTTTAGCCATTGTCCCTCCCGTGTGCCCATCCAATGCTAAAACCACCAAAGTAAATAAAAAACAAATTATCATGCATGTTTATTGAAAGTAAAACATTTTTATACCAACTAAAATAGTTATTTGAAGTTAAAGCAATAGTGAAAAGCATACTGTATAGGTTTAGAGATAGAAGAAAATAATTAGATTTTTTTAGTATCTTAAAACTGTGTATCTAAATTACAAATTAAAAACTCAATAATATTCTTTCCATCCATACACTCTTGTACAATATTTACAACCATAAAACATAAACATAAAATTAATCCTAACTTTTTCAGTTTTCTACTTGTAACAAACAGTCTTAACAATGTTAAATATATTTAAAACATCATTTCTAACTTAATATGCAAGGTGTATTTTAGTAACTATTAATAACTGCCAGCTTGTTCAAAGAAAAAAAGCAAGTTGATTTATATTCTAACACCAGTGGCATGTTATTTTCTACTATTAAAGCCATTTCGTACCCATATGTGACTACTCATCTTCATCAAGTGGCACAAGGGAAAGCCACTGAAACCTCATAGAACTAGATTCATACTTGGTGTGCACATTGATTTTCCTCTGCATTGTTATTGGCTACTGCCAAGTCAACTTCTCATTCTTCAGAAAAACATTAAGCCCGTTATATGTGTTTCGTTGGACTATGTCATTGAGTATAAATGCAATGTTTAATTTGTACTAACTACTCTACATCAATCTAAGTCATCACATAGGGGTGGGAAACTGTTAGAGGAGTAGAAAAGGGAGAAAAATAAGAACGTATTATTGGTTTCAGATTTAAAAACAATGCATGTTAATGGTCTCAGATTTAAGAACAATACATGTTAGTGGTCTCAGATTTAAGAACAATACATGTTAGTGGTCTCAGATTTAAGAACAATACATGTTAGTGGTCTCAGATTTAAGAACAATACATGTTAGTGGTCTCAGATTTAAGAACATGTTATTGGTCTCAGATAACTCCATCGGTTGCAACTGGAGGATATTAGTGTACTTCAATGTATCTAGATTTATTGACAAACCTTGTATATGGTGAGAACAAAATAAAAAAATACAATTTTAACTTTTCACTCATCAGCAAATTATTTAAAGTTTATTATAAATACTTGAACATGTACACCCTGCATATTACTAATTGCACACTTTATACAAATTGGTAACTGGTTAATAGTTACAAAATCACCTTTCATAGCTTTGAACTTTTGAGACACTGATTTTGTCATCCAATTTAAATATACACATACATAACATGACGACTTACAGTGGATTAGGTTCACAAGCACTGCAGCCACAGTACTTCAATCAACCAATATAATGAACACTCTTCATATGCCGTCTCAGTAGAACGCTGTGAGCAAACTTTTGCTTACACACCTTGCAGGCTGAGTGGGTCTCCACGTGCCGTGTGATATGATGTTTGTAGTGTGATCTCTCGACAACTGATTTGCAAATTTGGCATCTTATTGTTTTCGACTGTTTTCTTTTATTGGAGTTATTTATTAACTGTGGTTGTTTATGAGAGTTTTTAATTTTCCTTGGAAGAGAACCTTTTTTTAGTTTTACATTTGAATTCAACTTTGAACTACTCTTTCTTTTGGTTTTTATATTGTCTTGGATGATCTTTGTATTACTCATTTTCAGCCTTTTCTCCAATGGCTTTTTGTATTTATCCAAGCAACTATTACCCAAACTCAACTTTGCATTTGTTGTGTTATCTTCAACCTTAAGTTTTAAAGCTCGACTTTTCAAACTTGACTTGGATACAGTTTCGTTTACTTTATTTTTTGAAAAATTGGATTCTTCGCCCGGGTTTTTTTCTTTGTGTGATACTGTTTCCAAAACTAATTTCATATTGCTTGCATTATGAAGATCATTTCCAATTTTTAACTTTTTACTGTTTGTGTCTGCCCTATCATTTGTTTTTATTTCTCTACTTCTTAACTTTGGCACTCGTGAAATTATTGGTTTTTCACTCAGGATTTGTTTTCTTTCTGTTGCTTGATCTGTTTGAGTTAAATCTACCACCTCTTCTTCTGAAACTTTTGCAATCAACGTTTTTTCCCCACCTCTTTGGCAAACACTTAGAGATAATTTGGGCTTTGCCGTAATTTTATTGGAATTAGTTTTTCCTCTGCACTTTATATCCTTGTCATCGCTTGGAACTAATTTAGCATTGTTTTCCGGAGAATGTTGTTTTTCAATACCTTGGCAGGTTTTTATTTTACAGATATCTGATGTATTATGCCTTGATAGCATTACAGTTGGTTTATTTGAAAAATCATTAGTTTTCAAGGGTTTAAATGATTCAACAGCTTTTTCTAAGACTACAGTTTTTTGCTGTTTATCAATTAACTCTGTGTCCTTTTTTAGTGTTATAAGCTTCTTTAATCTTTCCTTGTCCACTACCCCTGAAGGGATAACCAAAGAAGCCCCACTGTTTTGTGGTACATGTCTACTAGATTTGATTTTACCTTTTCTCGTATTACGCTCAGATTCATTACTAATATCCACCAAACTGCAGGTACTGGCATCATCTTCACTAGAATCACTGCTGCTGATCACCACTATATTGTTTTTTCTTTGGTCATCTTTAATCTTGTTTGGTCTTGTCTTCCTTTGAAATGATGTTGGGACTACTTTATGATTTTTTTTTATTTTAGTTGTTGGATTTTCTTTAGGTAAAGAATTTACAGCATCTTCCTTTTTACTTTCATCAAACATTTGTTTACATCCAACAGATTTATCATTTCCATTAAAACTGTCTTTTGATTCAGTTTTATTGAGATTCCTTCCCTTCATTAGTCCCCTTACTTTTCGTGGTCCCCATTGTCCTGATTTTTTCAAGAACTCAACACTTTTAAATTTGACGGCACTAAGATCAGGTACTTTTGGGAAAGTATTTTTTACTGTAAATGATTGATTCAAAATATTTCTATCTTTAATGGACTTTTTAACGCCATTTTCACTTTTTTCAGAAGCAGAATCAGTATCTTCATCAGAACTTGATATTTCTTCAGTGGTACTGGAATCATCCTCAGATGAAACTAGATCATGTACTTCCGGGAAAGTATTTTCTACTGTAAGCGATTGATTCAAAATATTTCTATCTTTAATGGACTTTTTAACGCCATTTTCACTTTTTTCAGAAGCAGAATCAGTATCTTCATCAGAACTTGATATTTCTTCAGTGGTCCTTATACTGGAATCATCCTCAGATGAAACTAGATCATGTACGTCCGGGAAAGTATTTTCTACTGTAAGCGATTGATTCAAAATATTTCTATCTTTAATGGACTTTTTAACGCCATTTTCACTTTTTTCAGAAGCAGTATCAGTATCTTCATCGGAACTTGAAATTTCTTCAATTGTCTCTAAACTGGATTCATCTTCAGATGAAACTAATACTGTGGTGCTTTCTTTTTGCCTAATTTCATTCTCATTGGTCCTTTTAAGGGATGTTCCATCAACATTGACATTGGCATTTGTCTGCAGTATTTTTTTTATCGCTCTAAAGTAATCGCTTTGTTTTCCTTTAATGAAATTACAGGGTTTATGTCTTGTGTATGCATTTTTGGAAGTAAACAAAGCATTACACCTGGCACATTTATACATCATAGTCTTTTTTATGTTTCCCTCATTTCCACGGGGAAAAACGTTTTTCGGGGAACCATACGGCTTTAAAATAATAATCGAGGCTCTCTTGATTTGGTTTTTTTGTACCAAATGTTTTCCATCATTGTTCCTAATTGTTTTCCTAGGGCTGTTGTTCTTTTCTTGAATTACTTCTTTATTTTCCAACATTTTCCATGAAATTGAGGCAGCTTTCTTCAACGGTGGACAAGTTTTTTGAGGGTTTAAACATTTAAAATTTGTCTTTTTTTCAAAAGCAAAAATCTTTTTAGAATAATTATTTTTTTGTAATGCCAGTTTAGAGAGCTCCTCTTTAGAACTACTCGATAACAAAGGATTAGAACTTTCTTTAATTTTACTAAAAACTTTCAGCGCATTACGGTTTTTTGTATTCTGAAAGAAGTTTAGATTGTGCTCATGGGAAACCGGGGTTGTAACCAAATTCAGTTTTGGTGGTGCGGCCTTGCTTGTTGGAGTTACTTTGGCTCCCACAGAACTGTTAAACTTTGGCGATGTCAACGTAACTATGTCCTTATCAATTACCAAACTAACTGGAGACATTGACTTTCGGTCCCCAGTTTTGGTTGAAGCAGCTGTCAGAGTTAAAGGTTCTTTTATGTAGACAGCTGATGGTGACCTGAAAACTTGTTTGGAATCCACAAATGGTGGAAGATTGGGGGATTTTGTTGGAGTTTCCAAAGCAGTTTTTGGATCTATAAGTTGTTTTATACTTTTTACTTTTAACCTTGCACTGGATTGATTGTTAGTCGGAAGAGTACTTCCCACTATAGGTTCCCCAGTAGCTTTATCTGGTGTGTGGACAACCGCTTTAGTATTTCTAGGGATGAATAAATATTTTTTTCCTGTTCCAAAAAGCGGATGTACTGCTGTTGGGTTGATCTGAAAATAAAACTATTATTACCAACAATTAGTTATACGCAAGTTATTAGTTTCTCAAAGTCCATTCCAAAAGTTTATCATAAAACTCAGCCAACCACACTAATCATAGTCGGTTGTTTACACTCTCCTATCTAAAAGGGACAAATGAATCCTAGGAAATAGTTAATACAATCAAAAATTTCTGGTCAGCCTCTACCTGTATATCTTACCAATGATTAGTTGATGCAGAGCTAGAGACTGGATCTGTAGGATACAATTGATTTCTTTTACTGTTTCTCTTCAGTAGGATCAGAGTGTGTAAACATCTAAACCCAATAAGAGCAGTTGGGTGAGTTTTAATAAGCATGACAAACTTGACAATGACTCAAGAGGTGACTCAATAGATACACTTGAATCAAGAGATATAAACATACAAACAATATTAACTTACATTGGTGAGACACTCGATTTCTTGGAATAAACCCCATTAAAGTATTTCCCACAAAAACTGTGTGAATTGAAACGAAAGAAAATCCTGAATAGAAAGTTCGAAATAACCTTTTGAGGATAATAGTTGTTTCAAAGAACTATATTAAAGGAACTAAGAGGAGTATAACAACTTGATTTTGGCTTATAATAAAATGCAGTAAATTGTTTTGGTCAAATTTTAACTACTTGTTTAACTGGCCACTTACTTTGTCTTCAGCAGAAAAAGCCAGGGGGTCTCTTTCAGGTTCAGCCCTGAAAATAAAAAAATCATTGTGCATAGTAAACTACTGAAAACATTATCATTTAATGTTGTTCTTTATTTTTATTTTACTCAATATATGATATCCTACCATAAAAATATATTTGCTACCTACTTAATAGATTTTTAGCTATGGCCTACTGCAGCAAAAACTGCTGTTTCCAATTTTTTACAAGCAATCCTGGAAGATGATCATGTTACAGAGACTAAAGAAGATGTTCACAATCTTGCCATAACCTCGGAAGATGTTGACAATTTCAACAAGAACGGTCACAATTTCGCCATGACCGCAGAAGTTCTTGATTTTGCTGTGATCGCAGAATTTAAAATTTTGCAGATATTGTTGGAGACAATGATTTTGCATTGACCAAGGAAAATTTCTTCGATTTTGTTGTGATCACGGTTACGGAAGACATTTAATTTTTTGCTGTGACCATGGATGATATTCACAGTTTCGTTGTGACTGCGGAAGAATTTACAATTTTACAATAACCTCGGAAGACGTTTACAAGATCATTGTGACAGAGGATGTCCCTGATTTTGCCGTGATCATGGAAGAAATTCAATTTTTTGCTGTGAACACGGAAGATGTACACGATTAATCTATGACCACAGTAGATGTTCTGGATTTTACCGTGTCCGTGGAAGATTTTCATGATTTTGATAAGACCCTAGAAAATGGTAGGCCTATGTTGACTTTTGTTACCTATATAATAAATGTAGTAGCCTATCATCTTTGATAATCTGAGACCCCTCTTTATTTTTTCAGTTTAAATGATTTAACTGGTGAATAGCCTACTTTCTTCCACTTTTGGACACTGTAGTAGACATCCCATCTATATGGACCAACTGTAGCCAATTTTCAGATACAATGTTGAACATAAAGGAATGATCCACTTACACAGGGCATTGTTGTCAAAGATTTAATTTTCTCTTTTAGTTTTGGGTACAGTACACTCTCGATTATCCGTGCCTTTGGGTTATCCGAGGTCGTTTTAGGCATAAATAGTCTATGTGTATTTTTTTAATTCCGGTCGTAAAACAATAATTACTTTTTAGAAATCTTTCTGTGGAAAGCAAACATGGTACAAAAAGATATGACAAAACCATAAAAACCATTGTTACTGTTCAAATAGACAGTAAAATGTTCAATTTTATTTTCATGAAACTAACTGTAATGTTTCTACTATAGATAATGGCCCGAATTGGTTAAACATACAATGCTTTTTAAAACACTAGAAATAAGATATCTTAATCCTATTTTTAAAATGTCCTTGGTATTTTTCTTAAGATAATGAGGTTAGCCTATGTAACAAGATTTTCAAGGTATCTATTGACCACGTTTTATCCGTTACCCGGTTCACAGTTAATCGAGGTTATATTGTAGCACAAAAAAATCCATAGGCCGATCACACAATAAGTTGTCCTGTCAAATTTGCTTGATTAAAAAGTTAGCGCATTTGACAGAAATCCATAACTGACGGATGATCTGTTGCTCAATTCAACTATATCCATCTTAATTCTAGAGCTATACATCCTGGCTACAGCTATAGAATGATTGTTAAGGGAATGCGGCTGGCTAGGGTCAGCCCTACTCACACAAACGCAGGCCTCACACACACAGACACAAGGGATTAGGACGGACCAGAGACCTGCCATGTGATTCATCACTGGCTAACAGAAATTTAAATATCAATTTTTTAATTTTACCTTTGTTATAAAATCTGTTAATACTTTTGCCTTCAGCTCAAAATGTTGAATAAAATTATAACAAACAATATATTTTTTGCTTGCAAAATGTAGAAGTAACAAATATTTTTTTCTATTATTCCTTGTCATAATCATTTCATATTTGGACTCATTTTTCATGTAATTAAACAACAATTTACTGACATTTTACTGTATATCTAACTTAAAATTAATTGTGATTTTGAGGTATTATACAACAGATGTTATATTTCTAGGTATTGAAGGGGATAGGGGCTCTCAGGCAATTAGGGTGATACTTAGTTTCCGTGTCCGGAAATCAGACTTCGCTTTTCCAAAAAATTAGCGACTGATATGGCTTTGTCATTCGCTTGTAAAAGGTCATCTAATGTGCAAGACTAGGGTTATCAGGGTGATGGTGAGTGTGCGTGCGTGAGTCAGGTCCCTCGCAGGTACAGTTCGGCCAAAACTTCTGTGCGCGTGGACGGGTCGATACTAGCCGAAATAAAACATACGGGTACCGGCTATTGGCAGTGCTGGGGTAGGGGTGAGTGAGTGGCAAGGGACAAACGTTTTCACAAAAGGACCCCCGCCAACCCCCTCGCCTAGACCCAACCAGATATGGTCGCGCGCACAGAAACTTTGGCCGAACTGTTGGGCCAAGCTCCAGCCGCTTTCCCTTAAAAATCAAACTATATACATGGAAATGAGATGTAGGTCTACTTCTCTCAATAGTCAAAGCTACTACGTTCAGGTACAAACGTGTTGTGTAAAAAAACAACTTACAGGCTTGTATTGTACTCCATTTCACAGTTGACCATTTCAATCGGGTAAGGTTCTCCTCGCTCTGGATACGCTAAGATGTCTGGAGTGCATTGAATACTTTCAACTTCTTCTTCTCTCTCTTGACTGTCTCCGCTACCCTCTAAACTGATCCCTTCTTCCACTGATTCTTTAGTAAAATCAAAATCTTCATTTTCACCCATCTCAACTTTGATATGTTCAATATGCATAGAACCGTTGTCTTCTGATTTATCTGCAAAAAAAAATCTGTTAGCCTATACAAACATTTTGAACTACATCATCATGATAAACAATTAAAAAATTGTTTACAAAAAGTTCATATATACTAAGTACATATTTAGCTTTTAGATTATTAAAAAAGCGCTGGAACCTAACCTGAACCGAGCTGAGGTAGATTTGTAAAAAAACATGGATGTACTGAAGCACAGAACAAGTACCATTGATATTGCACAGGCTATAATATCAAGAAGATATACAAGAAAATTAACGGGGTTGATTTGACTGTTTAATATAGGTATCAAAGGAGCATGTGAAATTACAAAATTAGTAACTTAACTGACATTTATTAATCGCACACAATGGTGAAAAAGCGTTCAATATTATACCACCATTGCAAGAGACGACCATGATGTTTCAATTACCGCAAGAGATATTCTGGAGCTTGCCGCGGTTTCAGATAATGACAGTTTCCGTGATCTCGGGAGATGATGACGTGTCCTTTACTACAGGAGACTTTCAGGAGTTTGCCGTGATCCAAGAAAAACCCTTAACAATGATAAAGTTTCCGCAATTGTTGGAGACAGTTAGAAAACCACCCAACTGTGGCGGATGTCACCGAAAATGATGATGATTTTTTTCTTCCAAGATCGCAGAAGACGATGAATAATGTTCATTTGACTGTGGAAAACATTCATTATTTTGCCACGATCATGGAGGATGACAACAAGCGTTTCCGTAAACTATGATGTTTCCCAATCGCTGGGTATAAATAAAATTGTTTCCGAAAATTCGGGAGAGTTGATAAGGGAGTGATCATCTCCAAATGACCTTTGCAAATAGTCATGATGTTACCTCGATAACATTGTCACTGATAGGCGATGGCACGGTCCAATTGGAGGAGGAGTCGGATTGGTGGGGTTCTACTATATAACTGCTCAGCTACTAAAAACTACACATAGGTAGGCCTACACTACATTAACATTACAATGACACACAGTAGTAACATTACACTGGTATACAGTTCCTTGTTTCATATAGAAACCTATAGTGTAGGATCAAAAACAAAAAGTTAAAAGTTTACTTGACATTTTTTGTAATAAAATTAACACTATAAATTAAACAAGTTTTTCATCAGGTAGAATAATTTCCTAAGCATATTATGGTATGTTATATGAAATAAAATTTTAGATTTAATACATTTATAAATTCCAAACATGATTGCACAAAACTATAACATTAGTACTCTGAGGCTAATGTTCATTTGGTTACAATCTTTGTTTTTCAAATCAACTACCAGTACCTATTTAAAATTAATTATCTTTAGTTGAGTGTGGATCTCACACTGTAATGGTTGAACCAATGTTTCTGTAAGCCATACATCAAAACTGTCTTTTTTGGGTTTTGTTGTTGTTTTACGCTTGCCACTTGGTCACAGAAAGGACTTTTTCAGATTTTGTAAAACTTTTATAGATAACTGATACCTTGAACTTTAAAAAAGGTGTTTGATAGAATACAATACAGAGTAAGGTAAACAAAAATTATGTAAGAAGATGATAACCTGTTTTAAATGTGCCGTCTTCAACAAATTTACGATAGTAAGGCAGACAATACGGATGGTCTCTTGGCACAGGACAATGGGTAGGTTTGATTGGGAATATTGTCGGTATAGCAGAACTCTTCAACTTGCGTTTCCCATTTCGCATTTCCCACTGGTCTTTGTCGAAGTGAACCTGTAACAAGTGAATTTGATGTAAAACCTTGACAAATTAATTAATAATTGTTCTACATTAAATTGATCTTAGCAATATATTGATGAGTGGACTGTGATTAATTGTATTGGGTTCTAATGTATAACAAAACAAAACAAGCTGTTGCCTACGTCGGCTTCGTCCAACATACTTTTGTTTTTTGTACTACTATGAACCCGCTGAAGTTGTCACCTCGCTACAGGCTAAAGATGACCTTTTGCTTTAATTTCTGTATAGTAACAGTTATTAAGGATTAAATCCATTTGTATATACCCTAGTCACCTAACCTAACTAATCGTATGGAACTACTGAAGCCAAACTAAGGGAGAAATTATTCATTTGAAAAATTAACGGCCTTCTACCAGGAACTTCGAACTACTCTCTCTGGGACAACCTACTTAATGTTTTACCAAAATTAGTATTCCTGTTCTATCTTCTTTAGTTTATAGCTATATATTAAACCAAATTTGTCAATGGTACAGCTGCTTTTCTCATAACTTTAAAATTTAGTTGGGGAAAGACAAGGAATTGTAACAAAAATATATAAAAATAGAATACAAATAACAAAAGTGGAAGTTACCAGGTTTTACTATTTTAGAGGGGTTAGGCTATAAGAGATTTTTTTATCCAGCAATAAAATGTTTTATGATACGATTTTTAGTTTTCAAGAGATAGAACTGCTTTTGTTTTGGATTGAGAGGAATATAATAAGGCCTGGCATGAAAATATTGCTTGAAAAAACTTACCTCACACAAGAATGATGTCTTGTTAGGAATCCACCCAGGACGATCCATCATGTCCACCCATATCTGACGTCGGCGACGGTCTTTCCGAGGGAAGTATTTCCGAACCATACCCTTCTGTCGGAAACATCCTAGAGCAGCACATGATGGCATGCCTGGACCAACCACAGACACTTTAATTCATAATAAAGTTTTATTTAGGGTAAGGTCACATGAATTAGCCTATTTTTCAGTTTAGCACAGTCTACAACAGCTTCAAATTATCGTCATGCACAAGATTTTGCGGATGTCATCAAAGTTTATGGTTTTCTTTGTCATTCATAAATTGCTGCCAGTTTTTCCATCTTTATAGTACAAGGGGACCACCATGAATTCTCTATGTCAATTTATAGTTACCGTATAGCCTAAACTATTATTTTCAACAAAAGACTTAAGTTATATTGTAAAAATGTAGTTTAATATGTGTGAGCAGTTTTTGGGATGTGTTAAAATAATAGGAAATACTACAGTGCACACCTATAGTTTTGAGAGATTAAGTAACTTATTGTGGTATCCAAAATTTCCTTAACTCTTGTACAGTAGAACTTCAATCGGAAATTATGCAGGAGATGGTGACCAAGAGATTCATACTAATTTATATATAATTAGATAATAGATTTTTACCTGAAACCAATGGTGCAAAGATTTTTCTGCTGTCACAAAAACTTCAAGCTTGTAGTTTATTGTCATGAACAAAACTGAAATAACCTAACCTAATCACCACAGAGATAGGTTTAGGTTAGTCTTCTTCGAAAGATCCTATGGATTAACTGTTCATATCCAATAAATACAATCGATATTAGGCTAGGCGATACCGGTACATTATAAATAAGTTAAAGAACTAATATTTGAACCAATAACTTAAGTTGATATATCGTAGGTTCTCTACGGAACTTTTCTGCAGAGAACCTGCAATATATTGTTGGATGAATAATGAAATAAATACATCAATATCTAACTTACCTATTTGTTTTTAGGCTATATTAATATCGTATTGAATGCAATACCATATTAGCCTATAAATAATAACAATATAAAAGCTTTTTCTTTATTTTATCCTTTGTTTTTTCTTAAATAAGTTAACTTAGGCCTATTAAAGAATTAAAATGGAAGAAATCATTAATTTTCTATTTCTATGTGGTTACTTATATCAATACCTTAGTATTGATAACTAAGTGTAAACAGTTTTTGTTTAGGCTAAATTTTGTTAGCTTTAACTTATTTATTAAATATTAAAAAGTAAACAAATCATAAATCAAATAGATGTCTAAGCTTACATTGGGAAAAAATAAACTATTGTGTAATCAATATTATAATGTTTTGGATAAACATAAATATTTATTGTTCATCCGATAACTTAATATACCTATCTCAGGTTCTGTGCGGAACTGTACCTGACATTTTTGTCATTATTTTTACATAATTTGAGATAAACTCAAAAGGTATTATTAAGCTTAGGCATATAAATTGGGATGCCTAACATAACATAATAGTGAGCCTTGCTTGGCCTGTTGGAATTTATTAATTATTTCACAAACTTAAATGCTTCATTACCCTGTTATTTTTTGTTTTTGTAGTGGCAGTAACATTTTAACTACATGTTGTCTAAATATCTTATAGGCTTAGTCAGCTAATTAATTATGTGATATATTATTTTAACAACTAGTTGACACTGCAATGCATTTCAAATAACAAGTAGTCTACTGTAAATAGCTGTCTGCTAATGTACACTAGTAGTCATCTTTCAGGTTTTCAATAACAGACAGGTTGGCATTGATGCTAAGTCAAAATCTGCCCACACTCCTCCGAGATACAATTAATCGGCAATATGTATAATAGTGATTTTGGAAGATATAAACTATTTTGGAAGATATACAAATAAAAATATATGTACTCACTTAAAATTTGAAATTATTACAAGTAAGATATACAAGTATTTGGCCAACTAACTTGACATCCATTTCGGGTTTCAGTTTCGGAATAAACATGGCCGTCGGCCGTCCAAAAAAAACCAAAGCATTGCAAAGAGATATAAACATTGATGGGAAAAAACAATCAGCTGTTAAACATAAAACACACTGAGCTAAAATTATAACTAAAACACACCCCTTTCTTTCACGATTTAGTTAGCATTGGTTCTGAAATGTGCCTAATTACTAATTAGGCTTATTTGGCTATGTTCTCGGTCCCTACTCCCTACATGATAGTAAAACGTGAATTATTTATACACTGTTTATATACAGGGTTAGTAAAAAGTGTGTGTGGAGACCTCCTGTTATTTTTTTAACGGCCCATACTAGAAAAACTAAACTCGGCACATATTTATGGCATGTTATGAAGTACTTTTTGGGCATAACACCCACTTTGTATACATCTCCAAAATGGGGGATTTTGGGGGAAACTCAAATGATTCAAATACAAAGACCCCTCATTTTGAAGGTTCTGGTAAAAAAACCAACAACGCAAATTAGAGGTCTCTATCTCAATCCAGTAAAAAATGGCAGCCAATTGAAATTCTCAGAAATTAAATTTAATTTACAGCTTTCCAAGTCTGGAGACCCCCTGTAAATTTTGTAACGGCTCAAACTAGGAAAACTAAACTCTACACACCTTTTTGGCATGTTATGAAGTACTTTTTAAGCCTAATAGCCTTTTTGGTTCCCAAACCCAAAATGGGGGATTTTGGGGAAAATTCAAAAGTTTTAAATGATAAGCCCCATCGAGTGACCCCTCATTTTGAAGGTCCTGGTAAAAGAAAATTAACAACGCAAGTTAAAGGTTTCTATCTCAATCCATTAAAAAATGGAAGCTGATTGAAATCTTTAGAAATCAGAAATAACTTGCAATTTTATAATCAATTGGCTGCCATATTTTACTGTGTTAAGATAAAGATAAAGTTTGCGTTGTTTTCTTTTATTATGACCTTCAAAATGAGGGGTCACTCAATGCGGCCTATCGATTAATTTTTTTTAATTTCCCCCAAAATCCCCCATTTTGGGTTTGGGAACCAAGTGGCTATTAAAAGGAGTATCCTTGAGGAGTATGTTTTATCTATGGTTGTAGTCGGGAATCGGGCGTTATCGCGTTGTCCAGACAGGATGCGTTATTCTAATTCTAGTTCGTTTCAGAAGTTATCGTTGCTCTGGTAGCGTTGCGGCAACGGCACTAATGGCAATGCATGTTTTCGTTTTCGTTGTCCACGCGGCTTTCCTGCAACATTGTGTAGATAGATACGTTATTAAAATAACAGGGAGTTCTCCGCAACGTGTTGCCGCGATAACGGTTGCCGTGGCCGCAACCCTGTTATTCATCCTGTTATGTTAAATAGCGCCCATCTCTAGTCTGTTTACGTAAACAAAATCTTTTCTTCATAAGAAATACATTGGGATTTTGATGGCCTGTGGGGCGAAGCCCGAGGATCTTTATTACAGGAATTGGTGAAAGGGGGTGTCTACACAAAAAATCCTTAATTTTGACACATCGTTTGTAAAAATCCATCCATTATTAACGGAGGAGTAGTGTTTCGTAGAAATCGCCTTCACGTATTATATATAAGGGTGTAGTTGGGTTCTGCAGCTGAGAATGTCTATATTTTCCTTGGGCCCGCACCAGACAGTTAAATAGATGAATTGGCTGTAAGAGATGGGATTGTTCCATGGGGCCCCCATGGAACAATCCCATCTCTAAGGGGGAATTATTCTAGGAGAATACGAGTCGGGTTTTCACCTTGCAGGAAAAATACCATTCGAGTTCTCGGAGATCTTAAGTGCAGACGCGAAAGCTGCAGGAACACCTTCAAGGTACTCAAGATTCAAACTGTAGATTGTGTATACAAGCAGTCAAAGCCTCCTCAGGGACGCTGATTAGTGGTGATTTGTGTACACACTACACAAAAAATGCTGGAAACTACAACTTGCCTGCACGTGACACCTTCGCTCAAGATACTCCTAGAAGCCGTTATACGCCGCGCAGGGGCCAAGCTCTTTAATCTACTTCATTCAATCATCAAGAAGCGAAACTCCAAGTCCCTTTAAGAACAGTGGATACACTCTGGATGGTTGAGTTGAGACACAGACTACAGTATTGTATAGTCTATGGTTGAGAACCCTGTCCATACCATCGACGAGTTCATTGCACTTTGTGGAAGAGACTTGTCAAAACTAGATTTTTGTTTTCTTGTTGTTAATAATTGTTGTAATTTGAGTTGACGCCATTTCTGATCTTAGCTTATGTAATAAAGTATATATATATGTTATCTTATGGCCCTTATGGGACGTCTGGCACCAAACAACACTACTTGCATGTTGCAACGTTGTGATTCTACCAAGACCAAGACCAAGGCCGCGGGTCTGGAGTTGAAGATGGCCATGCTATATAGGTCATACAGTTACATCGATGTAATTACCAGGAAAATTACAATATCCAAGCAACTACTTGATTATTCTAAAAACTATTGTAAATATATCGATTATTTGACCAAAAAGAAAACTATCCGAAACTATTTTTATACATATAACACCAACTGTTGCGTCGCCCCTAGCGGCGTGATTGTGAAAACTATGCAATATCGCAAGCACAGCAGGTGTTTTTGTGTTCATTTGTTGTCAGTTTAGGAAAAATTGTGTTTTATTAACATTATAAAGTGAAATTGTGTGTTTTTAGTGATTTTTAAACAATGAGGAAACCTCTGTTGAGGTAATAAAACCATTCTTTATCCTCTAAAACAAATATTTACGTAATTATAATAGTTTTAAAATAGGCCCTCGGTGACCCTATTTTTGGGGTTCGACGGTTTTCTAGGCTATGGCATCAGTTTTTATGCAACATTTAACGTACCTTTACAGGTTTTAAAGTGTTTACTAAAGTTTTCTAGCTTAATTATATTGTTTTGTAATACTTTTTCATGTATAACTATTATATTTTACTTTATGTCTTGTTCGCAGATGACAATTCCAAGGCTGAGGGAATGAGAAAGTGGATCTCATTTTAGGTAAGTAGGTCCCTTATATCCTGTTAGTCTGGTGAGAAAATAAACAATTACATTGATTTGTAAAATTGCATTATTATTTTCTTGACTCATTAGTCTAATGTAACTAAATAGGCTAATAAATTAGACATAGGATTTAGCCTAACAATTTGAGTTTAATGATTGGGCTATCTGGCTAGCCTAGGCTACAATCAGTTTTACCAATCAGATTAGGCCTTGGTTCATTTAAGTTAATTAGGCTTAGTCTAGACAATGAATGACAATAAAGGTAATAAGTACTAAACTTCCTACTACTTATGTTATCCTATAGCCCTAGGCATAGGCCTACTAGGCCCTAATTTATTTTTTTACCAAAATGAGTCTAACGGTACCGTATACCAAAATTAGGCTAGGCCTAAGTTTATTTAAAAGGACTTTTTTCCTATGACGCTTTGGGGGGAAATAACTAAGTTAGGCCTAAGTATTTCACTCTGAAAATCATGTTTTAAAACTTAACATTGGGAAAAGCACCATAAATCAACATTTTTTTGCTCTTTAAAATTTAACTTATTTATTTTTAAATACCGTAGGTCTAGGCCTACTTTGTTTTTTTTAGGCCATTTCAAACCATTTTGCCTTTGTACACTTTTTCGGCAAATGCCGTTTTTACCCGGAAATCCAGGATTGAAAAGCCGTTTCAATAGCAAAGCGAAAATGAATGAATTTTGGATAAATTAAACCAAATTAAGTTAAATATAATTAAGCCTAGGTAACCTAACCCATGATTAGGCCCTATGTTAGCAAAGTGCTGAAAATGACCGATTTTGGGTAAACCAAGGTTGGGCTAAGTTAGGTTTGGCTAGTAGAATCTAGAATCAAGAATCAATATTTTATTCCATTAGACATGTACCGTACATGCATTAGGATACGTCAATAAAGTTGAATACATGCTGCAACAAACACAAACACAAGTCAAAGATAAATAGTACAGTACATAGATTAGGTACTGATTAGGTACATAGATTAGGAAGGTAGATTAGGTAAACTTAATAAGGTAGTAGGCTACCTTATTTATTTATTTCCAACGGACATCTCCATTTTAAGTTACCTTAACTTATTAAGTTATTGACACTAACTGGTCAAGTGTGCTGATATTTTGAGATTTAACCAATAAGTTAGCTTAGTGTAACGCTTTTCATGACTTTCGAACACATTTTTTGGAGTGAAATAATAATTAGGTGTTTGCCGAAAAAGTGCAAGAGGAAAGTAGCCTACTGAGGAAAAAAGTTTGTCAAATCGCCTAAATTATAAGAAAAATAATTTAGGCGTTTCCCTCCATGGTCCAAAAGGAATAAAGTGCTTAAAATAGCCTAAGTAATTTTGGTAGATAAGGTAAATAAATGCAATATAGGCCCTACTCTAACATAAGTAGGCCTAGTGAGTACCATACCTAACCATAAGTTCAGTATTACCTTGATCTGATTTCTTGCTTTAGATCAAGTAATAGTAATTTGTTTTGTTTAACTTAGTTAGCTTGAAACTCTTATTGTGTAGGCCTTAACCCATTGGGGAAGGAATTAATGCGCTACCTGCAGCACCCTCTGGCGGCAATTAATTTTACCGAATTTGTAGACTTTTACTCTAACTGCTATAGAAAGAAAACCTTAGGTAATAAATTAATAACTCTTTCACCATTTTGTTCACAGTAAAATTGTCTACAGAAAAGTGGTAATTGAAATAGTCAAAGTTCTAAAATAAAAAAAAATATATATATATTAGATTATAAAAATAAAAAATTTAAAAACAATATTTTGAAAGTAAAATTGATATAGGTACAAATTCCAAGATTAATCCAGACACCAAATAACACTACTATTATAAAGTTCAATCGATTCCCTACGTAGAAAAATCAAAAGTTGTGTACTTTTATAAGTAATAACATTAAAAAAAATTTTTTTTTTGTTTACCTTACTGCAGCTGATTTATGGTGATATGTGGTTTTTATGGCAACACAAAATTGTTTGTTATCGCTAAAATAAATGAGTAAATACGCAAATCAAGAAGCAAGATATTTATAAACATAATAGTAAGAAGAAACAAAAAGGGCGAAAAATAATAATAACTAAATAACTAATGGCGCTGCCTAGCGGTGACACGAGCGGCACTCGTAAGTCGGCCGCCGGGCCTGCAGCGGCCATACGAGTAACGCTCATAAGTCATCGCCAATGGGTTAACTTGTAACATACATTTGAGTAGCCTAGGTTCGAGGCCTAGGTAACTTAATTTTTCGACCTAGGTGCCTCCAGACTAATTTTTATATCTTTTACTTTATAATTTCTTACCTTCTAAATTCAAATAGCCTATAAAATTATTTTCCACCGTAAATGAATATTACTGAAGGTATCGCCGTTAACTTAAAATGTATTTAGGCCTAACGTTAGGCATATAATTAGGCTAACAAGGTAAGACTGTTACAAGTAGAATGAACTGTGGGTGAAGTAAGTTAGGCATACAGCTTATTGGTTTCAACCACACACCAAGCAACTGGAAGGGACAAAGGACAATAAACCTTAATGCTGAGGAACTTATATAAGTTCCATTGACCATAACTTATATAAGTTAGGCCTATATTTTTTTCAACATCATTAACCCTGATTCAGCAATTTGAAAATCGTCTGATTAGGCCCTAACTTACACTCTTCAGTAATCAAAACATTAACACTAAATATCTTATCAGCCCTGAGTTAACAAGATACCGTAAGCATATTAATAAGCCAAACACCAGTTAGTTATTTGGTGTTCCTTTCCTTTCCTTGCCTTTTAGTAATTCGACAGCCACTTTGATATGATCTTCTTGTACAACGCCAATCACCGCCCTTTAAAATACTGGAAATCTAAGACCAATTACTTCTGGAGCTCTACAGGCCTTGGTGGCCTTTGGCTTCCGCTACAATTTGCCTCCAATTGGCTCGATCTTGCACCATCTCTCTTCAATTTCTGACTCTTTAACATCCTCAGGTCATCATCCTCTTCATCAAGCCATCTTCTTCTCTGCCCACCCCTTCTTCTAGTCTCTTCCATTTTCTGGCACAACAGTTCTTTGAGCTGTCTTCCTTCAGGCATTCTCTCGTTATGGCCCAACCAACCAATCCTTCTTGCTTGATGCAGCGCACAATATCCTTCCCTTGCAAAATGTCATTTACTTCTACTTTACTTTTAATAGGCTATCCTCCGTCCATACCCTTTCTTCACTGCTCCATGTAAGATCAATTACACAGTTAGGCTATATTAATTAACAACACATGAAGTATAATTTATTATTCTTGTTTATAAATTTATTTTTTATTTATATTTCACCGAGCTATAAGTTAATGATAAATTTTTAAAAAGAGTTTGTCTTAGAGAATGAATAAATACTTTAAATGTAAGTTAATGAAAATTTCATCCAACTCATTACTTACGACCAAATTCAACTATTCCTAAATAGGCCCTAACCCAATCCTTAGGCTAACCAACCTTATTAGATTGGTTTGGTGTTACAGGCTGTATTTTACAATACTGATCTAGTCGGTTTTCACACAACCTTTTCCACAGCAAATTGCTTTGATTTTTATCAAAATTCATTATGTTATGGTTCTTTTATCTCCAAACTAAACGGAAGGCCTACAACTTCCAATGATGTAAAAATTACAGTTCTAAAGTTATTTCTTTTTTATGATTTTACCCATAACATATGATAGTTATTTTTGTCTCTTACCCATTGATATGGTTGTTGACAAGACTTCATTTTTGAGTTGTTGACTTCTGGATTACTTAACAATTACTATAGAGGATAAATACCCTGTTGCCAACGTAATCCTTGGTCGTATAGATAGTGACCAATTTCAACACTCTTAAGGGTCATTGTCAAACCATAGACGTGTTGTCGTCCTAAAAGGTCCTCAAAGAGTCTTTAAAAAACTGTTATTTATTCGTCAAAATGTTTGTTTGTGTATGTGTTTTGAAGACTTTTTTTATGACATCCTAGGAGCGACAATTCGTCTAAGGCTTGACAATGACACCGTAAGAGTGAAAAAACCAGTCGCTTTTCAGACGACTGGCAACAAGTTGTGAAACCTCTAGAATAGTAGTTGTTGACTTTTAAGCAAATGCGAGGAAGTAGGCTATGTGCCGGTTTGCCGATACTGTTTATTTTAAATTTTAGATACCCTAAAGCCGCATTTACTCTGGAGTTTACAAGATGTGTTTAATGTATCCAAAGAATGTTAGTTTTTCTGGGACATTTTCAAAAAATTTTACAAAAGCATTTTTTTCCCACAAGAAAGCATATTAAAGCCATCAATAACCAAGTTTACAAATGAGCTTTCACTAACATGTCTAAGTTTCATGGTACCTAACAGCTATTTTGGACAAATAACTGAAACATTTGTTGTAAAATTTGGTATGAAAACAGCTAAAAAAATCTAAGTAAAAATAATGTATCCCGACAAGTGTTAAAACAAATTTTTACCGATGTTTAAACTCGGCCCATGGTATCTTAACAGACCGTAAACATCAGAAAGATTACAGAGTAACTTTATCTGTTATCTCTGTCGTTGGTGACTATTACTATTTCATGAAAAGAAATTCCAATCACCAACCATTCATTTTAGTTTTCATAAATCACATATTTCTCAGCATCTAAGTTAGCCTTTGCTTAACTATAAAAATAATACAAACATATTAGCTGTGTAAACATAAATAAAACGAGTCTAGAAATTGATATTCTTTATGATCAATGTTAAAAAATTTGAACATTTTTAGTCAATTGTATTTACAAATTTTATGTGTGTTTAGTAAAAAATATACCTAATAAATGCTTGCCTGTAAATAAATTGGGAGTAGGTTAATTAGCCTATGAACATAATAATTGTCAAAATAATTAAAATAGTTTTTTTATTTATCTATTTCCCAGTTTACAAAATGGATATATTAACAAGATGGATACAGTTGAAACAGTCACTTTTTTGCTTTAAATTTGTATTAAGTTTTACTCTTAAATGTAATCACAAAACAAACAATTAAGTTGTAACCTTTAATAAATACTCTGTAATATTAAGTAGGCTTGTTTAAAAAGGAGTTTTGTGGAGCAGATACTGTACATGTAAGAAAAAAACAATAATTAGGGCTGGTGGAAATAAAAGTTTGTAGCAATGAACAGACTCTGTATTGGAGTAGAAAGGATTGCACCAATCACAACAGTTGTAGGGCCAAGGTCATTGACCCTCAAACCACACTTGCTTCCAGCTGACAGCCAGTTGTGCCAACTGTAACTAAACGGAATTAAGCAGTGCTGCCACACCAGTCAAATCACAATTCCCTTTATTACTAATTATTTTTACACCTAGTTAAGTTATTACATCAAAACACCTAGTTATTCCAGTAAAAAATATAGTTTTAGTTTTTATTATATTTCAATCCACATGTAATCTTAAACCTTAGACTTATTAGGCTATATGTACCATTTAGAAAAACACACTGACATTAATTAAATAGACCTCTACTAGTTCATTTGATTTTACGGTAACTACAAAATTAATAAATGTATACTAACCATGTAAAACGAATGTTTTTGTGTGTGATGGGTTTTCTGAAAAAATATAGTGTATAAAATAAACTGGTAGGACTAGTTTAGTCTTTTACATTTTATCGTAAAAAAATCATTCAATCAGGTATGGACCACAATCAGGCTAGGCTAGTTTAGTGGTTAATAGTACCTATTGAAGTTGTTTTCTCTGGACTCTCAAGCAACCAATTCATGTGAATTGACCCAAAACAAAATTATCCATGTTGCTTAATTGACTTCAAAATTTTATATTGTTTTCCAGTTACGGTACTGCCATTATTATTTATAATAATATATTTTTTCTATGATTCACCGCTTTTACATAATTTCAGAGGTATTACAGTATTTATTTATTTGTAGAAATGCAAAGGAAAGAAACAAGCAAATAAAACTAGGCATAAACAAAAAGAACATGAAATGACAAACAAGATCATACTACTACTACAACAATTCCACTTGAAACAAAATGAGTTCTAACATATAATTTTAAAATTTATCCTGGACACTACAATTTTAACAAAAGTTGGAAAAATTAATCAAAATGTGCATGTAGGCTACACATTAAAATTTGTGATATGAAGTGTGATATAAAGTATAATATGGCAAAAACTAATGTAAAAACAAGAGAAAATTAACGTCCATTTAACAAAGTTGATGGGTTATAAATTATTTAATTCGTAACAATAATAAAACTATTAATAATTCACAACAATGTAACAATGTAAAATGGAATTGTTCAATAAAATAAATGAATAAACAATATAGGCTTACATGTTTTTGAATAATAACAATGGAACAATAACATTACAAATCTAAGAGAAATAAGAACACAAATTATGAATAACAAAATAATGACCATGAGGGGTTTGTACAAACAAAATAAGGAAAAACAATGTAATTTCTGATAAGCTTATAGCTTAATCCCCTACAAAAGAAGAAATTTGCAAAAAAACTGCAAATATTAAGTTTAGTTTGCCTTACAGCTCAGATGAATAATATACCTACCCTAAATGTTCATAAATAAATGGTGAAATCGTTTGTTGATGCAAGGAAATCTAAAAGTTAGGCTTCTGTGTTTCTTCAGTGTCACAAGCCAATATAAATAATTAACTTTGTGACTCAGTCAATCAAGTTAGGCTAAATAAAAATACCTAAACCGCTAACAAAACAACAAATTGAGTTTTAGAGGTTTTATGACGCAATATTTAATTATAGGCTAACCTTTTTTCTTTTCAGTGAATGTGACAAATTTTTTACAGTTGCAGGTGACTGTGTTGAAAGCAGATTTATCTTTAATAATTTGAAGAAACCGAAGTAGCCTAATCCAATGGAAATGAATTTTCCGTTCGGGACAACTTTTGCCGCAGGGCACCAGTTTACAACTGCCAAATTTGCTCAGCAGGTTAGTATTGTATGCCTAAAGTGATTTTAGTTGTACCACCGTTTGCTTATTTAGGCCTAAGTGATAACGTAGGTTTAGTTAATCTTATTATTTTTAGGCCTACTAGTTTCAACTTTCTAGGAAGTCAACAATGTATTTTTCGCCACACTACACTGTTTTCATTGACTTTCCACGAAAGGATTTAGTCTGAAAAATGTCTCTTTGCCGCATGCTTAAACTAATGGAATTTTATTATACTACTGTACGTTACTGTAATGAGTTTTTACCAAACTTTAGCTGATTACAATTGGTATTAAGTTATAAACGAAAACTTAACATCTCTTAGAAGGGATGAGAAGGGATTTTTAAGTCCTGTAGTTGGTAGGAATATATAACAGATTTCTAAAGTTTATTTTTTATTAGGTTAGGTAGTATACGGCAAAAAATATCAAACTATGTCACTAGTCCAAAATGTGTTCACTCTAGGCCTAACTGTAGGTTCACTGGTAAACACCTATTTTCCGGACTATTTACGTAATATAGGCCTAAGTACGTAATATAGCATAAGTATAAGAAATTGAAAACTTTATGATTGTTTTTTTAGTTAAAGACAAGATATTCATATAATATTACCTGTACAAAAGTGATTAAGCTATTTTCTGTTTTGAATTTGTAAAATTTATTGCATCGTGTTAATATAAAAATGACCGAAAGGAAATGAGTCAAGAGGGTGACGTCAAACTATCTCATTACATCCATTGTTGTAATCAAACTCTCACCGAAACATTATGCTTTTCCAAAATGTTTTTGCTTCCATAATCTCGTAATCTTGTTTTAAGGTAGGTATGCCAACTTTTTACTCAAAATTGTTTTTTTTTAGAACTGTTTAAACCCAGCTCTTGTCACCATCCTATGCCTTTTAATTGTTGCTCAATGACACATGGCCTCTATGTCCAGAACCAATCCTACTCGGAATCGAACCAGCATTCTCACTATTTGAATATTCATTGTAATAGCACTTCTAGGTATTTTGTTGTTGTTAAGCTGGTAACATAGTTTTAAGCTATATTTGCTCACTGCAGGTTGGTACTACTGGAGGAGGACAAGTGGTAGGACTGTTGAGTTCAGACGAGCAAGGAGTAACGTACCTAAGGCCAGTCGACGCTGGTAACGGAGCGTTCACAATAAGCCTTCCACAAGCTTCTGGAAACAACTCCCAACACAATCAGGTAGGTCTGATTCTGAACCTTTTTTGGTGTTGAGGTTAATTTTAGCAAATTTTTTTTAACTTCTACGTTTCTGAATTAAAATCTTAATAAGGGTACGTATGTAAATTGGAATGGAAAAACGTCTCTGGTGGGATTGCTAATCGAATGGGATATTGTTGCTGTTCCGTGTGGCACACATGTTGATAGTTCCAACAACATTTTTAGAGTCTTGATAATGGTTTTAGCAAATGTTATAAAAACTAACAGCAACGTAAAACTTTGGGGGTGGGCGAGGAGTGATTTGTCAATTTGAGTAGAGTCAAGTTTTTGAGTAAAAAATTGTAGGCCTGTCGAGTTCTTCAGTTGATAAACTTAAAAATGATGTATAAAAACCTACTGTTTCTTTGATTTGTTATTAATTAAAGAGTTTCCCTTGAAAAGCACGGAACGGCTAAAATTGAATTTCCTGTAAAAAGATATGTAGGCCTATTTGCTTAAATAATACGGCAAACGCTGCATTAAAAATAATGTTTAAATGGGTTTTATTGTAATTTTTAAGATCCTTGTAAAATTCCTAATAAGAAATTACATGTGTAGCGTTTTTACTAATGTCAGCTGTTTCTATTAACCATTCTATTAACTATTTTTTTAACCACCAATGGTCGAGGGCAACAATAAAAAATGCTGAATATTTTACAAAAAGGATTTTAGTCTTGCATTGTTCAAAGTCAATGGGTACAGTAAACAATCTCAATGTTTTTACCCAATAATAGTTAGTTAATAACCATTGGTTTTCCAGCAACAAATCATGGCGCTGCCGATCAACATGGGTGGGTCTGGCAAACCGGGTGAGATGACCCAGCAGCAACCTCTACAGATTCAAGTGGTGAACCCGGCAGATGGGTCAGGCGGGGAGAAGTACTCAATTCCTCTCACTCTAGCTCATTTTCCTCAAGGACAGGTAAATCTGCATTAATATGTTATAGATTGTGATAGTTTACAAATTGATACTTAATCCGAATTGCCCGAGGTGTAACGTACAGAGAATGCTTTGCCGCAGCAGAATAATTACATTTTTTTTTAGAAGGGATGTGATTATAGACTTAGGTCTGTTTCCACACGTACCCTAATCACATGATATATTTCGGTCTATTTAATTTCTGTAGAAATTATAGTTGGTTAATTAATGTTAATATTTTGCTGATTTAAAATAAATGTTGTTATATTAACAGAAATTTGCAAAAAATAAACCTTAATACTTTATTTTATTTACAGTACATGGAACTTTGTACACCCGATTCCAAATGTGGCTATTAAAGCCAAATTATCCAGTTAGAACATGCTCAGAATACGTTTATAAAGATGATGTTTAGAATGCCGCAATCATTCAAAGCCAAATCAAACCAACACTACTTTAATTCTTGCTTTTGCCATTAAAAAACCTTTGTCATAAATAAAACCCAAATTTACTAAATATTTATTTTTTTCAATTAAGTTATATTCAATCAAAAAGGCTACGTGGCTTATCCATATTCCAGCCCTATACTTATCATGCCATTTTGACATTAAAATGTACAACTTCGTACAAAAACAATCATTATTTTCTTCCTGATTTGTTAAAAAGTATGTTTATTCACAGAAATATTACATTTTCTTTGCAGGGAATGGAAAACTTAGTCCTAGGTGTAATCGACCCAAATACACTCGCTGCATCGGGAGGCATAAAAGTAAGTACTGTTTATCACATCTTAATTTTTTTTGCCTAAATTAAATGTGTTCTATCTGCGGTATACCTTTTGTGTGACTTAAGGTGTAGTGTAGTTTTGTAACTTTTACGAAAGTATACCAATATCTACTATAGCTTACAAAACAAAATAAATCATTTGATATAACTCTTAAAAATTAGAAAACACGTACCAGTGAAAAACTTAAGTATCTATTGTGACTCTAAATTTTGAGAAAGCGGCTAGTGGCCTCGAAATATCCAATTTATCTTGTGTTTTCTTCTGTGTTACTGTAGTGAAGTGGGATGCCTACATTTCTTAAGGTAAGCCTGCTTATCCTATCCTTTGTCTCCCTTATATAAAAATTATATCAAAAAGAAAATTTTATCTTTAGAGGTGAGCCAGTTTGAATCATCAACATCGTCTTCCTCGATCACTGGAAAATCCTGAATCTTCCTCGGCAACATTATCACTGTCTTTCGTCTAAGTCGCAGCAAAATCCTCTAAAATATTGCTCTGGTCATAGGAACATAGTAATGGTCTGTTGCAATTGCTGCAATATCCTGAATAAGCTCTTCAGTCATGGAAACATCATTATTCTCTTCTGCTGCTGTGGCAAATCTTGAATACATCCTGTGGTTGAGTGGACAACATCATTATCTTCTACGAGTGCTGCAAAATCTTTATACATTCCTTGGTAACAGAAACAACACCATCTTCTTCCATAATCGCAGACAAATTCTGATCACCCCCCGCGGTATTATGGACATCATCATCGTCTCCCGCAGTCTTGTAAACGTCATCACCGTCGTCTGCGATAGTGACAAAAGCATGAATTTTTCATAACAGACATGTCAGGTAGGCATTGATTCTAGACGATCAATTCTCGATACCAACACAAATGTTCAAGAATCAGTGGCATTGAGAATCGACACATCCCTCTAAATATTATTTCATTAGCATTTCAGTAATCCAACACCATTCCAAAATGTTATACTGACATTAGGTCTGCATTTACCATAAGAGCTTAGTCGACTGTAATTTTTGAAACAAAACTATTTTTTAGGGACACTTTCCTATTTTTATTTGTTGTAACTTTCTGTGGTAGGGAATGTTTTTATAGATTAGGTATATTACTCTATAGGTACTCTATAGGTATATTACTCTTAAATACATTTGATAGTAATTAATAAAAAGTTTAAAGTTATTATTTTCTATTGGTTTTCTAACTATGTTAACTATTTGTTACTTTCCAGATGATTACATTGGCGTATAGTCCAGCGCAAGGGGGAACAGATGGAATACATTTACAGGTAATATAATAAGTCATACAATTAAAGTTTAAGCGAATAAACAGAAAATTATATTAAATTAAGAAGAAAAAATTAAAGTTTAAATTTAATTTAATTTCCATCAATTAATTAAATCCATTTCAATAACATTAGGTTTAACGAGTACTTAGGTTTGCTGCTACAGGGAGGGTAATAAAGTGTGTTTTAAGTAAAATATTAATAGCTTAGCATAAAATAAATAAATTGGCCAAGTTTGATCAAAACACATCCATGAACAAGCAAACTGCAGCAGTTTACTTATTCTTAATAAGAAAATAACAAGTGAATTTTTAATTTACAATTTTAGAATTTTCTTTGTAACAAATAACTGTACAGAAACACTTCAAGATATTATTATTATTATATTTTTTTTTAAAGCTCTTCAAAAAAAATTAGAGAGAAATTGGGAAATTGTATGTTTTGTGGGTAAAAATGAGAAAACCCTATTTTCACCCCTTAAATCCTGCCATAAAATCCCGTTTCCATGGTCCGATCACACTGGTTCACAAACTTGTTCGAATAAACGTAGGCTTATACATTTGTACCAAATTTCATCGAAATTGGATAATTTATGCTTGAGTTATCATGCCAAAAGACGTATATAAATATATATGAATTTGAACGGATGGTGTTTTTGGCCTCTGGGGACAAAAAAGTAAATCGGTCCCGGGTTAAGGTCATACCATTAGATCTACAGTAATAATTATTGTTTTTCTTTATTCCTACAGGAATTATATTAATTTAAGCTTACATTTTCTTGATGTTTTTTGTTATCCATTTGAAACCAATCTTATTTTTTACAACATTTTTTATTTTATTTTTTAGTTGCAACAAGCCGACGAGAATGGAGAAGTACGCCAAGATGGTGGTGATCAACAAGAAGTTCAACATCAACACCAGGAGGCGCAACAACAACATAACAATAACAACAGTAGCACACAGACCACGCAGGGAATGCACTGCGACGAAATGGTGAGCTTGGTGATGCTAGTATATGAATTGTTCTTTCAACATTCAGAACAAAATCATAAACTAAAATATATTTACGACCGTTTTTTAAACTAGCTTTTTTGATTCAATTTTTAGAATTGAAAACTTTACCGTGTTGTTTACTTGCTTTACAGCACTAGTGTGGTAATGTAACCTACCAATGGGGTTCAAGGATTGAGAAAAAAGAAGTAAAATTGTAATGCTTCGAACGCCAGCTGGTACCAATTCAATTCCTGACCTGCCGACTTCCTGTTTTTATAACACATTCCTTACCTTGTTTGTTTGTAATGGTTTCATTTTCATATCTTAATTTTTAATTGATAATGATGATGATCTTATCTTGAGGCTTTACGGTACTAGGCCACTTACAATATATTTTTCTTTTTGTGTCATGAAAAATTTTGTCTATTGGTAAAAAGTTATTAACTAAGTCAGTGCCTCGTACTACTTTTCCCTCTTTTGTCTGTAAAAAGTGACTCTTTGTTTATAATTTTGTTTGCGTTAAAAACACACTCGTATTATTATTTCTTTCATCTAATACAATGAATATACACTTGTTGTTAAGCGAGTGCTACAGCTGGTATGATGTAATGTTTGAAGGTGCTACCTGATGTCAAGCCGATGCTGAGCGAAGGCGAGGGGTCCAGTCAGGCGTACCCTGTCGCTGTGGTTGCTCAGATTACTCCGGACATGTTAGCTGTGCGACAGGAAGACATGGAGGGCGACAAGGGCCAGCAAAAAGATAAGGACAAGGGGGGAAACGGTGAGAATTAACTTTTTACACCTCAACAGCATATAGACCTATTGTTTTTACCGTTTTTGTTGTGTGTTGTTTTTACTTGACCAATTTTCAAAATGTTGGTCTTAAATTAAAGGTATACACTCAAAGATTTGCTGCTGTGAAGCATTATCATTAATCTATCTACTGTGTTACTCAACAAAAAAATATAAATTTGATTTTTTTAATTACTTCAATTAAATATGAATTCAACCAGTTCTAATAACATTATTCTATATGCTTTGGTCTAAGAACCTTCAGTGAAATACCAGTTTTCATATGAGCAATTGATTATTAAGATCGGATGTACCTGAAGCATGTTTCTGAATCACGAATGAAAAAATTATTATTTTAGTATTTGTATTCATCTACAATCCATAGGCCTAACTCCATTTTTATTTTAGTTTTTTTCATTTGAGATATCGATTGTTTGAATCAGTTAAGTTCAAGATATTTTTGAAAACTGTGTAATATTATATTGTCTTACTAAAAAAAAAGTCAATTCGACATTATAATTTTATGATTTTCATTTCAACGCTGCGGAACAGCAAAAGTCCTCTAGTTACTTGTTATTTTACATCTCTTACTTTTTTGTAACTAACTTAGTTACATTTTACGTGTTACTGTTTGATAACTAGTTAGACCTACATGTTATTTTGGATCTGCTACTTTTTAGTAGCATTTTTGGTTTAATCCTTTTTATACCAGAACATGTAATTTTCAGTTCTTATACTTTTTGGAAGTTCTTCAATTCTCTTAATACTTGGAAAGTATAAAGAAGCTAAGGGCATTAACAAGTAAAAGCTATCCACAACTGTAATTCTTTGTTTTCAGATGATGGGAAGGTGATTACAGTGCAGGATGTGAATAGTGAGGCATTCACAGCATGGCAGTCCAATGCGGCAATGGCCGACTATTTGCGGAATATTCAATCTGCCAATCAAAATGCGCTTAACATATCTCACTTCCTTAAGTTCTCCGCAGAAACTATCAAAAGGGAACAGGTAAAGATCAAAAGGCCTACAGTATTTTCTGAATCATATGCTATACTGGCAATGCCCAGTGTTTATATATTTAAAAAAAAACATTTAAAATCATACATAATAAACCAATTTAAACATAACCATCCAACCCGGTTTAAAAATGATTTTCAATACGCAATCCACCGCCTCTGTTTATTTGAAAATCCCCTTTTTATATGATTTTAAAACTTAACAATAATCTACCTGCCAGAATCAAAGAAATTTAAGGAATCTCAAAATTTGAAAACTCTTTTAAGTCCTATCTTTTATCTAAAGTGGATTGCTCTGATTGTTTGTCTTTGATCCTTAAAGATAATTTATATTATGTCTGAACCTATTTTTAATATTATTTATTTACTCATAAGAATATTGACAATGTCACCTGTTTCCCCAGCTGTGCTGGAACATTGGAAATGTACATTTATTGTGACAATAAAGTTATGTTCTTTTCTAAACAAATTATGTCACTGACTTGAAGCTTAAAGGTGAGCGTCAATGACAAAGTAAAATAATGCCCTAAAACTCTGTTCAATTTTACACTTAATAGTCTTAATAGCATTTAAAACTCATTTCTCCAGCTTTTATTTTGCCACGCTCTCTTTCCGGCATATTCCACTTCCATAGCTGAAGCCAAACTAATGTGGAACAACTTTAGTTATTTCATTGTTTGTAGGATCTCCAACATTCCTATCATACGAGGGCTGTCCATAAATTAATGTTTCCATTGTACTCACATAGCAGCTAAGCAATCCAGCTCAAATCTGAGGCCATTGTCCATTATATACTATTCATAGGTGGTTTCCAACTCCTTTCACAATTAGTCTCGTCATAGCATTTAAAAACTCCTTGAAAGAAAATTTACGCTCCTGCCAAGTATAAATTGTGTTCTGTGATTTTATTTCAGTGGTTGTCAATAGCTATTGAAGTCCGATGCCAGTTGAAAGATGTCAAGAATATAAAGCTTTGGACCTAGAAAATGTGCGTAAGGGGTGGAGGAAGTTGGGAAGTCGTCTTAAACATAATAACTAATATAATGGTTTTAAATACCTTCAGTCACCAGTTCAAATAAGTCGGCTATTGCGACCTAGGTTTCGGCCCGAAGTTGTACCATCATCAGGCGGGCCAGTCTTGAGTCTTCAGTCCAATGGACGTCGTTGGGTTAAAACAAATAACAGTTCAGTTGTTCCCAACGACGTCCATTGGACTGAAGACTCAAAACTGGCCCGCCTGATTATGGGACAACTTCGTGCCAAAACCTAGGCTGCAATAGCCGACTTATTTGAACTGGTGACTGAAGGTATTTAAAACCATTATATTAGTTACTATAACCAGTTCAGGGGCAATCCCACATCTTATGATGTCAAAATTATTAAACATAATGATTTCCATGGTGTAGGCCAACTGCTGTTGCTTAGTCTTATTTGTGACCGAAGTAAAGGAAATTTTGCATGCATAACGCAAAAAATGTGATTGTAGTGTAACTAAATAAGAGAGAACAATCCTGGTACATCTAGAAGTCTATCAAGGACTAGGCAGCCCTGGAAGTCTTGACACACGCTGATCAGCAAGCAGAGTTTCCTTACATTCGGATACCGATGAACACACCTTCCTTTTGTGCTAATTTGAATAGAATTTTGCAAACTCTAAAAGCTAGAGCACATTTTCTATGTCGAAATACTTTTCTGCACACATGTGTTTTCGAATGTGTGGCAACAGAAATAAACAGGAATTTATCCTCTTTCTGGAGAAACTTAATCACAGATAATGGTTCGTACTTGGCAGCATAAATTTTCTTTCACAACGTTTTTGAATACTTTGATGTGACTATTCCAATAGAGGTGGAAACCATCCAGGATTGTAGTGGATGAAGAAAGGAAATCGATGTTGGTCTCAGATTGGCTGCGACAGAAGACAGCCCTCTGTGCTGTCTCGCCATATCTCTGGTCTGATTGTTTCCGTTGTTGCAGGCCATCGAGAGCAGTCCGCTGAGCACGGCCAATGAGAGTGAAGAGGCTACAGTAGATATGCAGCAGACTGTCGCAGGGGAAGAGCAAGCCGACCCCAACAATCCTGTGAGTAAACCTCACTCCACTGTGCTTATACAAGGTGTCTCAAAATTCCAAGAAGGCCCCTTTATTTAAGCTGTATACTGGTTAATTTAACTTAAGCATTTGATTTTTTATGGTCCTTGGTTTTCATATGTTCTTGTAAAAATGTCTTCTTTATAAAAAAGATCATCTGTAACATCCCTTTAACGAATTTCCCATATAGGGAATAAACTATTACCGTAGGTCTCATGGTAAGACCTGGCCCATGAACCATTTACTATTTCGTTTTGAGGTCCCCAGAGGCAAAAAACACAATTGTTCAAATTCATATATATATTTATATATGTGAGTGTGTCTGTTATTTGATAACACAAGCAAAAATTATCCGATTTTGATTAAATATAGTACAAATGTGTAAACCTACGTTTATGCAACGAGTTAATTGAGGTATTTAAATCAATCTTTGTAGCCTGATTGGGGTATGTAAATAACGGTTTGTTTTGTTTTTGCTTTCATAGAGGAACCAAGTGAGTAGTAACATTTAAGTGAAGTGTTTCAGCAAATTTTCATTTTATATATTAATTTTAACTTTTAGTAAATAAAATGTAAGTTAATTGAACTTGGTATTTTCTTTACTGACAAAAAGACCTTAGCCTTTTGACAAGTTGATTTTATCAAATTAAAAAACTTAAACTTGTTTTAAACTTTTGCCAAGTTAAAAGAGGCTTAATGATTTTAATAAGTTACTTTACTGAGTATTCACTACAGTACTACTTTCCATAGCTTGTAAGCTATAGAGTTGTTATATGTATTCGATATATACTTTTATTTATCTGTAAATCATCTAGTGATCTAGTATATAACCTTTTTTGCAAATAATTTAACAAAGTATAACATTACACAATAGTTTTCCCAAGGTTTGAAAACTGCTAACCCAACAAACAAAAATCTATTCTAACCTCAAACTCTTCTTTCCTCTTTCACATTTTGTACAAGTTGACCTGTCTTTGACTGTCGCAGGAGGGCGGTTCGGCTCCAAAGAAAAAGAAGAAGTACAAGAAGAAAGCGCCAAAGCCACGGCGACCAAGACCAGGTCAGGTACACATTGCGACGGCTCTCGACGGAACGACTCTTTTCTGCTGTCCCGAGTGCAACATGGCCTACCCAGACAAGGAACTGTTAGAACAGCATCTAGTGGCACACAAGATCGAGCGCAGGTAAACATAGGAAGATAGGAAGGGGGAGATGTAATGTAAATAATATAGGGCTGATTTTTTCATATATTTAAGTAGAACAAGTTTTTACTACTGAACGAGTTAAAAAGTTGAGGTTTTAAATTTATTTTATCATAGGAGTTAGTCTAAGAACAATTTCTTCTTGTTTTGTAGCATGTTTAGTATAATTGCAACGGATAATAAGAAATATTGATGACATAGACATAGACTTTATTTGCACAAAACATTCCATACATGTCATAACATTTAGAATAGGTGCATTGTCAAAATTAAATCCATACATAAAATATTTAACATTAAAACTTTTAACTTAAAGTTCAACACTTAAAAAAAAAATTCTAAATTGTTCTGTAAAAATCTTCAATTAAGTAAAAAGCCTTGTCAATAAGAAAATTATCTATTGTATCTTTAAATTTGGTTTTGCTTAATGACTTATAGCATGGCAGAAGCACATTGTACTATCTCAGCCCAGCGTACAATGGAGATTTTTCATATAGGGTCAAATATAGTTTTACAGTGAGATTGGCTGATAGTGACAAAATTTAGGTATTTACGTAAGTAGGTACTTTCATTGGAACTTTCCAGCTTTTTATTAACTAAGCACTGGTATCCCTATTATTATTTATTGTAAAGATGGTCTCAAATTTGTGTAGGTTGTACACTTATGGAGACTGATTTTAAAAGAAAACATAATTTTACCGAGCCCCCTGTAGAGGAGAATCTATTTTGTTTAAGAGTTGGTTGTTAAAATAAGGTTGACATCTTTTTAGCAATTTGGTTATTAATATAAAGATATTTATAAACTTGTCTCGACGTTTTTTGGAGTATTTATTGTCATTGCCATTTTCTAACATTTCATTGTCAGGAATAGTCCATCACCATATTTTAATGTCAACCTATTGTTAAATAGCATCATTAATAGTTAGCTCAATAACATAATGACATCTTAGTCTACATTTGAGCCAGCACCCTTATAAATTTAAAGTAAAGCAAGTCCACTTTGTTAAGTTTGAAAATTGTGCACAATTTTTATATTAAGCATTCCTATATTTTGAATCAATTACAGTAGCATTAATTGTGTGATGGAGAAGATAGTTCACTGTGACTTTTTGTGTTTCAGATTTATTTGTGACATTTGTGGAGCAGGACTGAAACGGAAGGAACATTTAGAAAGGCACAAGTTGGGTCACAATCCAGAGAGGCCGTACATCTGTAGTGTATGTTGTAAAGGTAATGTTTTGCATTCTCATAAATCACACTCCTGGAAGGCAGGGATGAACAGGATTAGATAAGACAGGATTTTTTCTCAATGCAAAAAGAATTTATTTTAAATCTTGTGTTAATATTATGCATATATCAATGATCCCAATAGGAATGGGTAAAAAAACCAAAATACACAGGGATAACAAAAACACATAACTTCAAAATTTTATATTCGGGGCAAATTAACTGTGTGACATCAGTCTAGCCTTAGCTAAAACCAAAGAGGTATTTATAACGGACTATCTCTGCATTTTTTTAAACTGTGAAAAGTTTTAAAGCCTGATATGGTTATCAATAAAAAAACAGTTTAGCTTTATCCATAGGCCTACATTTTGTAACGTGCACCTAACAATGTCAAAATCGGCTGAACATATCCTACGGCCACGGTGCCATTGTAGACTTGTCTTGTAGTCACGGCACCATCGTCAACGTGTTTTGTGGTCACAGTGCTATTGTCAACATGCACTGTGATTGTCAACACGTTCCGTGTTCGGGGAATCATGGTGAACATCGCTCGCAATTACAGAGAATCAATCCTCATCCGCGGACGACATCATCGTCACTAGTGACGTGGCACAACTGGTGACGATGAGATCAAATCCTGTCTCGAGAAAATGTCGAATCAAATATAATCCCATTCCGTGATCTAGAATATTTTTCTTCCAAAAGTTTCAAGAAATTTTTGGACCCAACCATAACCATGATTAAACTTAATTTTATCTTACCTTAATTTTATTTTTGATTTTATCTCATGGTCATGGCGCCATCGTGAACATGTCCCACGTCTCGGGATATGCTTTGTCAAGGTTATTTCTTGACAATTTTTTAAGGGAAAGTCATGTGACTGAAAAAGGAGTTTTTCTTTCTATAGGGATCAAGCTTAGCTATCTTGTCTAAAATAAGAAGTGTATGGGACTTGACTTTTGAGCCAAGCCAATCCTAGGCTTAAAGATTGAGTGATTATCAAGTAAGAAACTCAAGGTCAGATTTTGTTTCACTCATTAAGCATCTATAAAGATTGCAAGGATCAAAAATTCTATAAAGCATTTTTTTTAAGCTCAGCTAGATAAATTTTCAGGCTCACACATCTCCAATTGAAGATGAATCTAAACATACTTCAGTTCCTGATTTAAGTCATCCTTAATTGCAAAAGAGGTTTTACTTTGCCTAACTCTATCTACTGTAATCCAAACAGTTGCTAAAACTGAATTGTTTGTTGTAGGTTTTAAGCGGAAAGAACACCTGAACCTGCACTTTGTAATCCACTCCGGGGAGAAAACGGAGGTTTGTCCAGAGTGTGGGAAGGGCTTCTACAGGAGGGACCATCTGAGGAAACATGCACGCAGTCATCTGGCCAAACGGGTCAAGGATGAACTGCAGCAGGTAACAAATCCACTTCCACCGAGTGTGGCTAATAATAATTGACTCTATAGTTAGAGTAGTCACATGAAATTTACCATATTTTGCCAATTTTTTATTTAAAAAAGGACAGATGAAAGAGGCAGTCAAGGAATGTGCTAGTATCTAAAATTCTACTTTTACCATAGTTTTTGTTACTGAGATAGTTAAAGATAAAAGGTGCCATAACTCAAAATAAGTGGTTCTATCAGTTTGACTTGGTCAAAAAGTCTGCATGTTCGATAGAAATTAGTAACTAAGCCTACGTCAGCGCAATCTGTCGGAGTCTTAGTTCAACTACACGTATTTTGATTTCAAACACAGACTATAATTTTTACATGGGGATGATTAAAATGTTCCTCTCGTTCTATCTAAAATAGAGATGGGCGTTATTTAACGTAACAGGGTAAATAACACTGTCAATAAATTGTAACCTGTTATCAAGATAACACGTTACTCAGAATACCCTGTTATTTTTGTAACGCTGCGCTCTTTGGCTTATGAATTAATCTCCTGTACCGGTTCCGTCAGGATCAAAGTCCTGAAAGCAACAAAAAGTCTTTAAAATAATAAAATGTGAGAAAACGTTCCATTCCAGCCGGAATTTTACGTACACGAGAACTGTACATAGTGTGGCAACATTAACACCAACAATAATTATGGAAAAACTGGAACGAAACGTCCAGCTAGGTAACACCCATGCTAGAATTAAGTTACAGTATATCCCGGCCGAAACGAACGAACACGGTCAGTAACAGGGTAGAGCAATAACACCCAGCGAGAATTTCGTTACATGCCCGCCGAGCTGGGGCTGGGATGTCACCTGGATGTCACGGTGTGGTGGGGGAGGAACGGACCGGTAACAGGTTACAAAATTAACAGGTTACTGGAACCTGTTACCAAGTTGTAATGGAACGGTGTAACGCGTTTCTCAAAAGTAACGGTAATTCCCATCTCTAATCAAAAATCAAAGGTTTGATTCTCTACTCCCATTTTTAAAGGACCAAAGATCTTTTTGAGGGCCTTGTTTTCAATAACAAGATCTTTTCTACTGGTTCATGTTACAGATTTCTAAACAATAAAGTAGTACAAGTTTAGTCTAGTAATTGTTTTGTAAGTTTTATTTTTTCAGAACTTGCAGCTTATTGCATACAAAGTCTTATTTTTTCAGAACTTTGCAGCTTATTTCAGGCAAAAAATGTTGTTCAGCTCTTATTCTATTAGTGGAGTTATTTGAAGGCAAGTATTGTCTGCAGGTCGATGGCAGAGTGAGCCATGAGTCAATGATCCAAGTGACAAATGTGATGGGCGCGACGCAGGACGAAGATGACAACACCGTCGTGTTGCCGGCTGCCGAGTCACATTCCGTCACACTTACGGAGTCACACCCCATCGCGCTGGTGCACCACCAGCAACATTGAGTGAGTAGGGACATTTTGCTTTCTTGTAGTTACCGTTACCAGTAACTCTATTGTGAATTTCATTGGGTGTAATTTTCACCTCCATTTTTATTCAACATTAGTTTACGTTATCTAGGAAGTCATTGTATTTTTATGTTGAATACTTAACCACTTTTTCTATGGATAAATTTTCTAGATTTACAAACACGTGCAAGTTGCTTAAAAAAACATACACAAAAAATCTTAAGTTATTGGTTGGTTCTGCATTTAAAACTATTGCATCAATTCTGCGTGTATAAATCTGTTAAAACTCTTAATTCCCTCGTTTACCATTGTTATAAGCTCAACTTGACCGCTATAGTAATGAAATTGTCACTGATTTTATAACGGGGTTACTAAGTAATTGGAAAGACGTTGATTTGATCATTTAAACGTAATTTAAGTTACAGGTTCTTTGACCAGATGATTCCAACCAATCGTACAGGTCACTATTGAACCAAATCTGAAACTTAGAGAACCTGTAGGATTAAGTAGGTGTATGTGAATACAGTAGAACCCCTAATATCTTACCTTGGTTTTACCAGTCCTTGGTTTATCCGGTCAATTTTCGGAAAGCAATAAACAAAATGTATTTCCTACGGCTACCAGATGGTTGCACACACTAGTCCCAACAACACAAGCCCTTTCACAGTTCGATTCAGCTTGCAATAGTGTTACTATCGTCCTACAAATATTTACAGAATAAATAGCCTATTATGTTAAGTCGTGTTGAAAGATATCTATGATTTCATCTAAATCAAAAATTGCAGGGACTTCATTTTTTAGCTGTTTATCCTAATGAACAGTCATAGATGCCAAAGTAATCTATCTATTTTTTACAGCCGGTTTGCCGCAAGTTGTGAGGTAATGTCTGCCAAAGTGTCGTCTGCACTACCTCTACTGAACTGACGAACTATCGACCTTTCGCTTATTTTGACATCGAACCCAGGAAATGTTGATCATCAGTTGTACCACTATTAAACACTCAAAGCAGCATACGATTGAATCAATCTGCTGTGCATCTTCAAAACTACTAAAAGTGGCTCTGGACTGTTTAATACTAGTGTTTATAAACTGAATTGTTTTCATCATGACTGCAAAACTCTACTTCTTGTCGATTTAGACAATTTTCAATGTTGGTGCTAACAAAAATTACTAAAACCAAAGGTCTGCAAATCCAACTGATTTTTTTCAAAGAGATAATTATCATATTTTCCATTTTAGGTTCTGAAATTTTCCAAAACTATACTGAGATTTATAAGTAAAAAAAAAATATATTGTAATGCATGATAACTGTATATAAGATTAGCTGAAAATGATAATCCATTTAAATCAGTAAGGGCCATAGAGAAAAAGTGTATTGCAGATTTCTTTTCCAAAAGACAAAAGAAAAACTGATTGTGTCTTTTTTAAGGTGCGTACGTCATGTTCAGTTGATAATGGTGTAGATAACCAAATGTAAATAGAAAATACATTTTTTAACGTGTAAAATAAGACGGGTTTTTTAACAAAACTGCTTTGTTTAAGCACGTCCCTGCATAATCGATTCTAGTTTTTATTTGTGTAAATATTGATATATTTATATCATAATTTTGTTTGAATGGGTCTTCACCCATTACTAAATGCTTTATTACGTAACAGAAGTTTATTGTGTTGTTTTTTTATTGTTTTAGTTGTTAACGCAAGTTTTATTCTCAGCTGACTTCTAACGCACAAATGTTTCTACATTTGTTTCTTGCCTTTTAACAATTTGTTAGACAATTAATATTGTCATTCTTAGTTCTTAATTGAGTTGTACAATGAATTTAAACATTTGTTGGTTTTTAATTTTACCCTAAGTTTTGTTTAGAGCAATAAATTTTAATGGCCTTAGATAAAACAAAGGCTGGAATATGATAAAAGAGTAATAAGTCTTGGTGTAATGCATGTTTATTTATGTTAATCACATTTTAAAGTTGAATGATTGGCAGTTCAATTAGCTATGATGTATTTTAATATTATTTTTATGACTTTTATCATCTTTATAGATTAGGTTTTCTGTCAATTAAGCAACTGATAAGTCAGCTGTAAGCAATTTACAAAATAGCATTTTTGGATCAGCTGTTTTTTGAATTGTTGCTTGTAAATAATAAAGTTTATCTGTAAATAGTAGGTAGAGTGCTTCTAGCACCGATTTAGCTTTCTATTATGACTATTTAGGAAAGTAATATTATTTTATCTCCGGAAGTGTAGCAAGACTATGTCTTCCAATATTAGGACCCTCTAAGTTAATTACGGAGAATTTGTTTTCATGAAACAGCTGTTGAATAATTCTCTTAGCAGCTGATTTTAGTGAATGTATAAAACGTGTAAATTTACATTTCATTTTATAAGGAAAGAAAAGTATATTTTTACACAATTGACTATAACTACGATGTACATATGATATAGTTTATCTTGTTATTTTCACTGCACTAGTTTTTTATCCTGAATATAAACAATTACCATTTTTACATAATATATTATTTTTGTTACTACATAATCAATTAATTGAGTGGCCGTACCTGTTTTTGGATTAACATAAACACTTATTGTTTCACTAGTTATTTTAGATCTTTGAATTTAGTTGCTACACTTCTTTTTGTATAACTGATACATATTTATTAATCATTGTTATTTTCTTGTACATAATATAATGTTAAGTTATAAAAATAATATTGTACGATAACTCATCTATAGTTTTGGTCCAAAGTCTTTGGTTTTGTCTAAAACAGGTGTTTGTTGTAAGTGAAAACACAGGATCACTAAAAAGTATGTTTTCTACAAGATTTTCTACTTTATAAAGTAAGTTATCACATTGGATCTGTTTGAAAAATTGAAAGAATTATGCCAGGTATACACTTAAACCCAAGTCTGGTTGAGGCGATATTTTTATATGTTTTCTACAGTGAAAGAACACAGGCCATTTTAATTACAGAACCTCTTTTCCATATTAGTAGTTGGACCTAATTTCACTATCCTGTGAAATATTTTGTAGTGTATTTTACTGACATCAGAAAAACGTCTTTTGACAAAACGTAAAGCTATCTAGTTACCCATTTAAAATATATGTTCTGTCAAAAACTATACAAACATAACTATTCATTCAAAAATGTTTCATACAAATATACTGTGGAAATAATATTAAGGTGTTGTAAAGCAGGGTTTCAATTCAATTCTAACAATAACATATTTAACCTTAATTAATTATGACTCTACTGATCCATAAGGCATTAAATGTCTTTAAGATTTAGAAATGATAATATTTGTGACCTAAATTAAATGAGTTCTTTGAAAGATTAACTATTGATTGGATTTAGGTGTATAGCCTCTGTGTTTACAATAATCCCCAACAAAATTAGTTTGCCATAATTCCTATTAACTGGTGCTTACACATAGTCATGCCACTTAATTTTGTTAAAACTCATATAGTTATTTTTCACATTATAACCATTACAATACCTAACCAATCAAGATTTTGGACCAAAAGATTTTCTAATGTAGTTGATGTGTTCATTAACTCCCCAATTTTGAGGGGAAACATTTTTAAGGAAAGATTATTATTTTTGTATCTTCCCCATTCACCCTTTCTTCTAATGGTTTTGGTACTTTCTCCGACGGATAGAACCAAAAATGTTATTGTTTTATCCAGGTTTTTACTCTACTATTGTAAAAATTACTGTATGGTTTTTTTTTAATAGAACGAACTTATCAAATAAAAATCACATGTTGTTAAAAATGCTATATATTATTTTCTACCAATACAGGGTTGGTCTTTACCAACCTTACTCTTTGATATGGAACCTCCATATTAGGTTATGGGTTGTATCAGGAAAACAAACTTTGCACATCTCTAAGGCATAAAAGTACATTTTTTGTAGGTATCCCAATTTTGTCCGAAAACAAAAAAATGGACATTTAGGGGGCAACTCACAAATTTTAAATGTAAAGCCCCGTCAAGTGACACCTCATTTAAAGTTGTTTAGTTACTTGTTTCTTTTTTGGTAATTCTAAGTTTAGTTTTTACCACACATAAAAATGTTAATAGGAAATATTAATGTAATAAACAACTTTTTCAAAGTTTTTTAATATCTTCCACCAACACAACATTTCTGACTCATCCCAGTGCTCAGGGCCATCTTTCCCTAACAATGGACATAGCAGTTGCTTGGGGCCTCGAAAGAATTTTTTCTTCTAGGCACATGAATTTCATCCATAATTTGTTAGTGTTAAGGGGTTCAATTTATGAGCCGAACTTTTATTCTCAAAGTATTGCAGAATCTAAAATCTTGACTTCACAGTAATAATTATCAAGTTTCCTCGACTGCCAAAGATGTTCACAATTTCTCCGAGACGTTCATCATTCGCCACTACTGTGGAAGACTAAGATGATGTTCCAGCAAACGCAAAAGATATTGACAATTTTACTGTAATTGTTAGAGATGGTAGTCTCCGCGATGGTGCAAGATTTCAGCATCTTGCTGTTTAGGACTTATGATTTTGTCTCAATCACAGGAGGCAATATTTATGTCCATGCAATGACAAAAGTTATTCAATTCACTATTTTGTTGTGAACGTAGGGGATGGTTCACAATCTAAGTAGTCCACGATTTCGTCACGACCACAGGAAAGAAATATGATGACCCTGAGAAGTGAAAACACGGAAGTTCACGAATTCGTCGTGCTCGCAGAATACGTAGAAAATGTCTCTACGACCGCAAATGATTTTTACTATTTCACCATGAACTTAGGTGAGAGGCACACCATGACCAAAGACAATTATTATGTTCATTTTTAATTTTGTTTTCTGTTCACTATGTTGCAGTTATTGCAGTAGTCGTTTAACCCGATTATAGTAAGGTACAACAATTGTATAAAAATCCATTCTTTCCTGAGCAAGCCAAATTTTACCCAACCTGGTTTTGGTCTGAGGCCCGAAGGTCAAGTCTGGTCCACAGACCCCTATTATTATTGAGAAATAAAATGGAATTATTTATTAGATTGTGTCCTAGCCTATGGTCTATTCACCGATCTGATCATCGAAAACAATGGGTGGAGTTAATTCTGAAAAAAGATTGTAAAAAAATGTCATTCTGTTCATTCAAAACAGGATCAGAAATAACGAATGCACAGTCCAAGTATTCAAGCCCTTGCTAAAATGTACCTTGATAAGAATCCTTGTTTATCATCCCCAGCAACTTGCATTTGAGTTGTTGGGGACACTGTTCTTTTTTTTATTTAGACTTGGTGCAAACCTTCTACCTATTTTTCTTTGCTTCCTTCCCTTAAATATATATTTTTTAACACTATTGATGATAAACCCATTTGAGGACATTGCATAGTGATAAAAAACAAAATTGGGGATACTAAAATATTTTAATTGCTTGTAACCTTAAAGAGAAAAGATAAACAATAAAGAAATATTTTGAGATTAATACTTTACTTATAATCAAATAATCATGGTCGTATTTCACAATTTGATTAAAACTTAACATTTTGTCTATATAAGTTAGGAACAACATTAATACTACAAGGTTACATCTTGTCTACACATAAAACAGATAAACTAGAAAACTACAACAGGTATAAATATTTAAACTTTGATTTCATAAAGCTATTTCTACTGGCTCAATAACAAACAAGTTTTTCCATCTAATACTCAAGTACCAAATTACAAACATTTAGATTATTCAAATAGCCTACAAGTGAAAAATTGACATTTTAGACAATAACAAAAACATTAACAATTTTAGACCTGTTAGGAGTAGAAAGTCGTTAAACGATTTGGTGAACAGCTATATGGAGAGAAGATGCTAGAGACAAATCTGAAAAGAAATTAAACTCATTAACTCAATTTGATTATTTTCTTTAAGTCAGCAATTAAATCACTAATTATAACTAAACTTGGTTCAATCAATCAATTCATTATTCGAATGTACACATGCCACATACCCTACATTGTGCATTAATCATGAAAAAAAGCACCAATAATACAGTTATCTTACTCAATTTTTTTTTTTTATTTCTAATAAAACAGAGGTTCCACAGACCTGGAAAGTCAGGGAAACAAGAGTAGGGTCAGGGAAAGTTTTTAAAAAAGGCCGCAAGTTAGGGAAAATTTTAGAAAATAAAGTAAAGTCAAGGAAGTTTATTGAAAACCTATATAGATTGGGTTAATTTTTTGGATGATTAGTCATGTTGAAATGAGATATCTAGTTGCTGAGAGATTACTTAAGTTCAGTTAAATATGCACTCTTTTTTATGTTTATCGCCGATTTTGTTGTTGTTTAAAGCTGTAAGTATTAGCAAACCTGCAGACTAAGTGGATTTCCGATTAATTGCCTGATTTTATTTTCACTTAAATCTATTTAAATGACATTAGGGTTAACAAGTACCTAGGTTTGCTGGGAACATCAAAATGAAAAAGCAAATCGGTCCCGGGCAGGGCTTAATTTCAGCCGGAGCACACCGGAGCGCAGCTCCGGTACTTCTCAGGACACTGGAGCGAAGCTCCTGTTATCTGGATTGATAATTTATTTTTGAATCGATCTTAATTAGCTGTAAATAGTATTTTTATTTTTCAATTGTTGACTTATGGTTTTCAATTCTTTGTAAAAATCGTGTCAAATACCGAATCTTTACTTCAGGGCAAAGTATTCAAAGTTTATTATACAACGGGGAACGGTGTTCCTACTTGTAAGCCAGTCTGCCGACAGTGCCGTCTGCCGACCAGGTGCCGACTGCCACTGACTGAGTCTGTGTTCGTTCAGATCGATGATCTCAGTCCACTGACTGCGTGCTGCGTGATTGGATTGGATTGGATTGGAACAGTGGAGTGGATGTGTAATATAGGCCTATGTCAAATTTAACTCTCAGAAGAAATAAACAAAATAACAAAAACTGCATGAGAAATACAACGACAGTTTTCATAATAAAAAACTGCATGGAATGGCATTTTACAACCCAGTTAGCGGGATTATTGTTTTGGTCGTGTGGATACACTGCATACTATACTAAGTGCTTCTGCTTAGTTGCTGGCAAACTTCTTTAATTTTTATACCTGTTATATTACTATTTTGTATATAATATAATGCTGTATATGTGCATTCTTAACCATGCTCAAATGTGTTTAAAATGCACCAATTCAAGTGCAATTTTTACAAAAATCTCCCGGACCCCCCTCTTTACCTGGGGGGTATTCCATACCCCCCAGACCCCCCGGTAAGTCATGGCTCCGGTACTTCTCAAATTAGAAATTAAGCCCTGGTCCCGGGTCTAGGTCACCTACAGGTCATGCCACCTACGGTAACAGCTTCTTATAAAGGAAAATTTGCTAAAAGGTAAAGATAAAAACCACGAGTACACAAATCTTTTTGCTGTCATGAAAACAAATACAATTATTTCAAAAGCAAAACCTCAAAACCTTAGACATTCACAGGTGCAGACAGGGGGAATTTTAAGAACATGGATGGTTCTTAAAATGTCTTACCTATGTTACGTTAATCGAATTAATGATCTACCTTTGAATGTAATTTCATTACATCTGGTCTTATATAACTCACCCATGTGTCATCTGTTGTGATGCCTTTGCAACACGTCGCTCAGCTGATGAAGGGTGTTTGAAGTTTTGTTTACAGACGACTCTAGCGATGTCATTGATGAAGACACCTCGCTAATCTGTAAAACAATATTCCATTAGATGTTCCACCGTCATGATTCCCCTCCCTCTGACAGCACGGGACTAGTATACTGGTTAAAAAAGCAGAAGAACGATTGATTGAAATACTTGTCGTCCATTAAGGGACTTTATTTTTGTAATACCAGAAACATTGACACTAAAAATCCACCCACGAAGCCCTGAAACCAGGGTTGAGCGTGGACTCAGGTTATAATTGTATAATCAACGTAAGCCTATTCAGTTTTAGAAAAATAAAAATTACTAAAATGAAAAAGATAAAAAAACTAAAATGAAATAACTAAATGGATGATGCAGCAATTGCCAATGAGCCAATTATTCGTAATTGAAGATTTTTGTAATTCTGTACCAAAAAATAAATAAATTCACCGCCATTGAAGTATAGCAGTTACAGAGAATTTTCATCTGATAATAGAGATCAACTACCAATTAAATAGTATATACTTGTCCTAAAACTTTGAAAGATGGTAGTGAAACCAAAGGCGGGGTAACATGGTAGGGGATGTGGGTGTTAGCTTTTTGTAACTAAGCATGTTCTTCTTCTGTCATAGATTTTTTTACTTAAGGTAATTACATAGTTCAATGAATTCACAGTCAAAAAACTACACTTCAAATTGTTGCCCTGCTTTTGGTGGATAAAACTCAATAAAACTCAACACTGTCCAAACTAGAAATTAAATAGGCCTCTATATTCCATCCCCTGTAAAAAAACCTCAATTAAAGCCGAGTTTTCCTAGGTGCGGAAGCGTACGGTAACACGGTCGTCCAGTGGCAGTCCGCTCCGCTTCTAGGAAACCTGTACCATTAAATTACCTAAGACAAGAAAAGAGTGGTCTCCACTTCCAAGCCTAGAAAACCCCTGCTTTAGAAGGGTTCAACTTACAAATTGATTGTAGTTCTCCATGCGATGGAACTTTTGGTTTCTTTCGTACAGATCCTTAACTTGCTTTGTAATGAATATTATCATGACAAGGATGGCTGTGAGAACGGTGAGAGGGATTGTCGAGAGACGACGGGAACAAAGCATCTTCCACCTCACTCCTCATCCCCTGCGACTCTGAAAAATCTTGGTTCAATCATTTACAATTCTGTATAAGTTAGGCCAACAACATGCATTCTTAAAAGCAGCTTTAACCCATCAACAACATTTAACTATTTTATTTTGTTTGTAACAGTAGGTATCGCCATTTTTACAATTTATATAGATAGACGACCTATACTAGGTGGTTTTATGGTTTATTTATCATTGTAATTTTTTAGTTTATTTTGTTTCATGTATTTTATGGCGTACTTATGTAGGCAGCTGTCTTTACTAAATTGTCCAATGCCTAAAAAATGGCCTTGTTAATAATTAACAGGATATGGTATATGCTTTTAGATATAAAGAACTGTTTTTGTTAAAAACCATCCAATAAATTAACTAGGAACAATTTGTTTGCTACTATCACTTGGTTAGCAACAAAAAAATAAGGTAGAAAATAGAATTTTTAGACACTAGTGCATTCTGTGACTGGCTCACACAACTATGTTCTCTAGGCTAATAAAAAAATTGGTGACAGCTGGTCCATATAGATGGGATGTCTACTTCACAGACCAATAGTCAATCACAGGATACAAAAGTGGTGTGTTTCTAGCCTAGTGATCAGTGTCTTGGTGTCTTGGACTTTGGTGTGAGAAGGACAGATTTTATTCCCAGCTCATCCACAAAACATTGCCACAAAACAAATATGGGTTAGGACTGCTTGTTCTAAAGGTGTTTTTGTTGCTGTACAACTGAACAATAGAGTAGCGGTACCTCCTTAGAAAATATCACAGGTGTAAGCAAGTAGTCCGAACTACTTAGTTGGAAGATGCGGAAATGGGTAGCAAACGTTAAGGAATTAGTATTCTAACTTGCACTTACAGTTGTTTTCTTCATGACATGTACACAAAAATGTATAAGCTAAGTATAGAGCTGATATGTTGTCAGTCAGTCACATTTTAGCAAATTTCCCATATAGGGAATAAGCTATGACTCATAGTAAGACCTGGACCCGGGACTAATTTACTCTTTGGTATTGAGGTACCTAGAGGTCAAAAACACCCTCCGTTCAAATTCATATACATAAAATAGAGAGAGAGAAAGAGGCCTATGTGTGTGTTAGCACTATAACTCGAGAAAAAATGATCCGATTTAGATGAAATTTTGTATTAATGGTCTGTGGATATGATGATTATGACGTCATATGATAGTTGGTCAAACTGATTTTTACTTTGCTGTATCACTGACCCGCGGTCTGTGTGTACTGTTAGCCAAGTGACACCAGGTCAATGTGTGATATTAGGCCTTGAGACGTGTCAATGACCGCAGCGTCGCAAATATGTGGCGATCTGTAGCAAACGTGTTAAGTGGTAATATCAAGCAGAATACTATATTGTAGGCCTACTAATTAAATCCAATGAAGGTTGTTTAAAAAGGCTGCACTTTACTTTAGGTCCTACACTCATTCGAATGAAAATATTGATCGATATATCGAATGAAACAATCAAATAATCAATATTTTCATTCAAATTAGTGTAGGATCTAAAGTAAAGTGCAGCCCAATATAAAACTACTTCTCTACGACATCAGAGAGCAGCCAATCTAACGAAAAAGATCTATTAGGTCTAAATTGTTAAAAATTGTTCTTGAGATCAAAACATCTGTGTGGAAAATTTAGGCTTGTCTTAGACCGACAGTGGTTGCAGCTTGCAGCATCTATACAAACTTGACTAGATAACTTAAGTTAGTTATATTTTAACATCCATGTGATTTTTCATTTTGTCAAGTCCTTTAGTGAGGAAGTGTAAAATTAAATGAGTATTATACGCTACTTACATTTTCTATTTAGCTATGGTTTGAGGTTAAATAAACCTGCTTGACAACGACAACTGACTGACGACAAAACATAGACCAGAACCAGAATCCAATCCAGAGTCAGTCAGGACAGGACAGAATGGCAATGGAATGACAGAAACCAGAAACTGAAACTAAAACAATTTACAATGATACCAACGTATGTGGCTACCACCTTAGTTCTTGAAATTTCCCTCAGACTGACACCTTTTCCTCAATGCTATTATATAAAAACGAATTTTAAAAATCTCTTATTTCTCAGAAAATATTGAAGTACTAACTAAAATAAGAAACCAGTTAACAATATTGGTATTGGAAACGTTGGTACGAAGAAATAATCATGAGGTGAAATCACGGATATTAGATTGGTGGGTAAGATATAGGGATAAAAGGTAATATAAGGAGCGTACATCTGTAGCACGGCCACATTCAACTCCTTGTACTATAGCACAGAAAACATACTAGCCTACTATAACCACGGTTATAGTAGTACAGTAGTCGCAGCTAGTCTGGGCGCGCGGCCGCGCTAAGGTGCGGGGTGTAGAGGGGAGTGTTTATTGCTCATTTCCAAAAACATCTGGCCCACACGGCTGTCTGGGGTTATTCAGCGCCTCACTGCTGTCTTCATGGCTTTGGCGTGGGGGACGGTTAGTACACAAGGGTCCGCGCGCCCAGACTAGCTGCGACAACTATATGTTTTCTGTGACTATAGCCACGACCAAATAACGCTCCTGGTCTCGTTTATTTTTCGCCGGTGGTCGCTGGTCGCTTACATAATTAGCTCCTTCGTCGCCATCACCAAGACCAGCGATGCCGGATAGGTTGTGTCAAGTGTGGCCGTAGCCATAAGAATTAGGGCTAGTTCTCAACACTTCTTGGTAAGGTACTCACATTATCAAAACCTTTTACGTAGGTACTCGATAAACCTAATCTTATCTTTCAAAAGATTTAATTTAAAATCTAAATGGAAATTCACTTAGTAGGCAGGTTTGCTGCGGCGGGAGAATTTCAAATTTCATCTACTTTGGAAATGGACGGAAATATAGATAACGGTCGATAATTAGATAAATGTGACGGGTGGTTCTTTATGTAATGAAATTAATTTTCCTTACTTTAATTTTTCTGGGAATATTCCTGATTCAAATGAAGAATTTATCAAATGGCACATAATTTTATTAATGTTATTTTTTCACAATATGAGTGAATAAATGCCTTAAAACATTTCAAATGACCAACAAAACCTGTATTTGGGGGGAGGATGATAGCTCAGCAGGATTCTGTGTTAAGAGTATATTTTTAATTATAAAAGATAATTATGTGTTTAAAGTGTCATTTTAGAAATGTTCCATTGTTGATTAAAACACCAGCATAACGTATTTTTTAATATCAAATCCAACCGTCTTCAAGTGGGAAGAACACAAGTTAGTTGGCTAGCTTCATATAGCTGAGTGGTTCAAGCGCTTGATTAACAAACAAAAGGTTGCCATGATCATGATAAAAGTACTAAGTAGACGATTTGATGAACTAGACCAAGCTGTCGTTGTTCTTTGGGATTTTAATTTTGTAGAATAAAAGGGATAGCAGCTAGCTCTGGTAACTTAAAGATTAAGTTAAGTCAGTGACTATATAACACTTAACTATAACTAGTAGTGTTATACCATTGACTATGTAACACTACTATAACTAGTAGTGTTATAATAGTCAATCGTTTAGGGTCAAGGAACAGCTCTTGCTCTTAGCCAGGAGTTTGAATTACATTGGAATAAAATGGCTGTCAGCTAGGTTGCTAGGTTACCTTAGAATGCTTCAATCGGCTATAGAAGACACAAACACACAATACTGAATTGAGTCCACAAATGACGATTTTTGATTGTTGAATAAGTCCCTAGGGAACAAAATATTGTGTTTTATGAGTCATCTGTGTGTTTTATAAACACACAGATAACCTCGCTGCTATCTCGCATTTCTACAACTATTCTGGCTTAAAGCCATTCCTTGAACAAACCTAATCTTTGGGTGTTTAATAAATGGTCCTATAGTTAAAGAAACTCAGAGACAATGCATCTCACTACATTCTTCATTCATCCTTTATTCATATTAAGGTTAAAATACGCCCAGTTCCATTCCCATGTCAAACAATGGTAACAACACACGATTACAAGATGAGTGATTACAAGATGAGTGGTACACAACCTGTTCAGAGGGAGGAAATGCTCATTAAATTCAATGCAGCTGTTAAGCTGAAATAAACGAAACAGAATACAGTTAATACAAACAAATAACCCCACCTGATTTTAATAAGATAATAAATTGAAATAATAATAACAAACAAATAAGTACAGCTGAGGTATTTTAAACATTAGGTATATGGATAGTTCCCTTTAGAAAGGAATTACAACCTTAAAGGGCAATTTATGAAATAATGGATAGTTTTGTACAAGGTTTCTCGTCATGACAAACATTTTAAGTATATGGTTTTATGGGGGTGTGACTTTATCTCTTCAAACATTTTGGAAATCATCAAGCTTCTCCCAGAAGTGATGAGGGTAAACAACTTTTTTGTAAAAAAAACTAACATACCGTAACAGGAATAACTCACTAAAGGGACGGTAAATTTCAACTTATGGAAACTATCGATATGTCTATAGTTTCAGGATTATGACCTTGACATGTTGTGAAATGCTTAAAAATTGCTCCTTCAAAAAGTTAAGCTCGCACTTCAAATTTCTTCATTCACAACATAACAAATTACTCTCAATTAATTGCTAAACAAATAATTTTCTGTCAAATGTTCCACATTGAACACTTTCTACTCAAGTGTTATTACCTTCTTCTGAGTGAAACTTCTGCAAATGTTTGGCTAACTGTGACTTCTTTGCGGCGGAATAGTAGCAATGCGAACACGCAAACTCTCTCTGGCCCGTGTGTGTAGCCATATGTTTATTGAGTGTGTCCAGCACAGCTGTTCCGTATGAACACACGGTGCACTTGTGTGGTTTCTCATCTAAATGTCTTGCCACGTGTATCCTCAAGTAACTGCTTTTTCCAGCCGTGTAACTACAATACGGACAAGAGTATTTTTTCTCATCCTCCCCAAAATGCACTACAACGTGGCGCATAAGGTTTCTCCGATGTTCTGTTGTATACGGACATTTTTCGCACTTAAACTCAACACTATGCGTTGGCATGTGTGCCTCAAGATTTTTCAACCGAACAAAACCTTTTCCACAAGTTTCGCACTTGTATTTCAGCTCTCCGGCAGGGATTCGAGACTTCTTTTTGCATCTGGTGGTGGTTTTGTTTGAGTCGATGGTTTCTTCCTCTGTTGACTGCTCGTTTGCGGTTTCCTCCATTCGAGCACGACATCTCTTCTTGTGTGCTTCTAAGAAGTTGGGCGAGACAAATGATATGGAGCACTTGTCACACAAAAACGCTTGTTCTGGAAAATAAAAGTAGAGCATACAATGACTGCTCTCAAATAACAAGGGATACATTAGATATATCGAGTCAAATTACAACATACTGGACAGACATTTAAATTAATCTGCAAATGAGTTAAAAACTATTTTATATCTTTAAACAGTGGCTTTCTACTACAATATTCTAATATAAATAAAAAGTAATTTTTTTACTTCTTTTTTATTTAAATAGGATAAATGATTGATCTTTCACCCTGATTTCTAAAAGTTAATTGAATTATACTAGCATAAAATCCGTCATCTCCATAATAATAGTAAGTACGATTATTTATTTTGCAGTTGATCACTTTTTGTGTCACTTGAGTGTTAGCAATCAAGTTGCTTGAAAAGCGAACCCCTTCAAATGCAACATTCAATTCCTGCTCTTGTGTAACTTTTACACATATGAAAATAAATGTTCAAATATATGGAATTGGAGAAACATCCGTGATTATTCCATTTCACAACTACTTCAATAGTTACTGACTTATTTCTAAATTACTATTTGGCAGTTTATTTGGTCCTAAAGGCAAAAATTATACAAGCAAAGTTGCAGGATAAAAGCTAGTAACAGTAGAAGTCTAATTATCCAAATCAATTAGGACCATACCATTTAAAAAAAAATCTGATACTTAATTGAATTTTTACGGAAATTTACAGTGTTATATTGAAAATAGAACAAGTTGAGCCAAGCTTGAATTGTTATTGCGATTACAGAACGTGAATACAAAAATTTTGCAAAAAATTCACGCTTTCCCCATGATTGCGGAGGACAATTATGATTTTACGTAACCGCCAAGGATGATAATGATGACTACAATCGTTATTTGTAACGTTATTTGACTATAACGTTATTTATTTGTACGTTATTTATTGCTATTTATTCGGTTTGTCATCTATTGTATTGTTGTGAGTGATATATTACACTAATAGTTATAATTTCTTCAGCAAGAGAAACTTTTACAATATTTATTATTTATCATGCATGTCAAGATTTTGTTGTTAGAATATTAATGCTACAATGTATCTGGGTTTATCCTGTTTTGCAGCATTGTAATAAAACAAATAAATAAACTACAAGACAGCGGAAGATGCGCCTGATTTTGCCACGATCATGAAAAACTATGATTATGGTTCTGTGACTACAGGTGACGATACTAATGTCTAAATGACCGTGGAATGTATTTAACGTTTTTGCTGTGATCATGGAAAATGATGATAATGTTTCCGTGACCGCAGGAGACGATGATTATGTCCACAAAACTGCAGGAGAGGTTTTTTTTTAATTTTCCGTCATCACGGCTTCTGGCTTCTCTAATAACAATTCTCATTAATTGTGGTGTTAGGTTTTTGTAATTCTTTCTGTAAGGGATACGGATATTCGGATAGTTGGATTTCTATTTTCTACTGTACATAATAAACATGAATTATTATTACTTGTTGCATTTGGGTCAGTGTGTTGTGAAACCTCTTCAGTAGACAATGCTTCGTCTACTACTTCAGAACCAAACGTAGATGAATTCTCATCAATCTCTATAAGCTGTAATAAATGAAAGAAATTAGTCATCTGATTTAATAAAATACCCTGTGTACCGCAATGTGATTATAGCTGTTTATTAGTTTATTCTTATTCTTTGTTTAAAGAGGTTAGCAGTTTTTTTTAATCTTGCATGTGCCAATCCTGCAAGACTCAGGCCTGGGCGAGAGATGAGCCGATACAGTACAAGAGTGGCGGATACCAGAACTGTGGCGGATACCAGGACAGTAGCGGATACTAGGACAGTGGCGGATACCAGGACAGTAGCGAATACCAGGACAGTGGCGGATACCAGGACAGTAGCGGATACTAGGACAGTGGCGGATACCAGGACAGTAGCGAATACCAGGACAGTGGCGGATACCAGGACAGTAGCGAATACCAGGACAGTAGCGGATACCAGGACAGTAGCGAATACCAGGACAGTGGCGGATACCAGGACAGTGGCGAATACCAGGACAGTGGCAGATACCAGGACAGTAGCGGATACTAGGACAGTGGCGGATACCAGGACAGTGGCGAATACCAGGACAGTGGCGGATACCAGGACAGTAGCGGATACTAGGACAGTGGCGGATACCAGGACAGTAGCGAATACCAGGACAGTAGCGAATACCAGGACAGTGGCGGCAGGACACAAACCACATTTTGTAGTCCGTCACTCTACTGACTCCCAATAAATACTCCGTCACATTATGGATTTGATTTTAATATGAAACTAAACATTGACTAACATAAACTAAGTAATTCTACATTTTCTGAGATGTTATCGAAGCAATAAACGTGTATAATAATCTAACGTTCAACACATTCAAGTACCATTGAGATTTTTGTCCTTGCCATTGATTCTTAAACATTTTCTATGAAAGTCTGAGGATACTAAAACATTTGTGGCAATACCACAACAAATGTGGCTCTAGAAGCCATTATCAGTTATATCGGGTATAACTGCACTATCTTTCAAGATCTTTCTCATGTTTGTTGAAGTGCAAGGATGTAGAATCTGTTAAAGGAGGATCTGTTTGACACTCCTTGGCTATGCTGAAGCCTTGACATTCAAATGCAATGCACAAAACAAACAATAATGTTTAGATTTTCTTCCTTCAAAGAAGGCCATTTGTATTTGGTTGTAGGCCTAGTATCTGACTATCTGAGGTTAGTAGCTAGGAGGCCAACTGAGTTGTCTTTCCAACCAAAGGATAGACGCCCTTTTTATTTCTTTAATAAAACATGGTTTGGTAATAAGAAAATTCATTAACTTTAAGGAAAAAGGTAAAATAATAAAAAAAGTCCATTTGTAACAATTTTATTTAAAAAATGTGTATCTATTCAAACAAATATTAAACTAAAACCATGTCAATAACATTGCTATATTCACTTAACTCTAAAAAAATGTACATGTTAAAATGCAAAGCTATTTACAGGTTAAAATTGACAAAATTATAGTAATTTAATGTCTGTATACTGTATATTTTGAAATAAAACAAGTATAATTTCTCTGTACATGTACATAGTAACAATAAGCATTATTGATCTCGAACCACAAATTGTACTATTAAATAAAATTTGAAACAGTAGAACTTCATTCCAAACACCAATCCACACCATTATACAGGTTACCGGATAAGCAGAAAAAATAACAAATTTGGCCACAAAATTTGAGTTTACAACAGTTTTTTTTTTCAGTTTGGTGTATTTCAAATTATTGAATCCATCATGCAGCAAGTCTATAGTGTTAAGTATATATTGCCATTATCTTGAAAAATCCAACTTATTGCATCTTTACTATTCTGGTACTCGTTGATCTCAATAATTAGACTTCTACTGTACATTGAAGATTGACAAGTTGATTGTTTTCAAAAATACAACTCTATGCAATAAAACAGCAGACAATACACAACAAACGTAAGACACCTTTTAGACGTACATTAGATACATTTTCTCATCACAGAAAACAAATTAAACTTTAGAGCTTCTTAAAATTACAATCATAAGATGAAAATGTATAATGTCCATTTAGCTAATAAACAAAATTAGATACTTTAAACTTTTACACGATTTTGGCCAACCGCATTAACACATTTACCAGGTAGAAATATAGCTTGCATCAATACATGTATGATAAAGATTGTACAATAGTGATTGATAATTATGTTAAAGCTTAAAAATAGGTAACTAATGCATATTAGCCTGTTCAACTCCATGATAATCCCTGTAGTTTTTTTATGCCTAATTTATTTGTAAATCGATTGAACGATTGATTTGTAAATGTTTTCCCTTGTTTCATGAAAACAAAATTCAATTTTTCTCAATCTTTTAGTGGACAAACTTGCAGTAAAGATAAATACAAAATAGCAAAACTTTTGAGGTGCAACTCAAAAATAATCCACAAATTCTGTCAACTTCCTCCCAAACCCATATTTTATTCTAAGTGGACTCCTCACATTAAGATTAATTTTGAGCAACAGGTATACTGTGCTAATTAAAAAACATTGCCGTTGACTTTGTGCACAGGTATTCCAGGTAAAGGAATTTGTAAACTTCGTAGAGAAGATCCATATGCTTCCGCATTTAAGTTCATTTTACTCCAAAACCTCATTTCCTCATTCAGTACCTCCATTCTTTTCAAATGTTCAGCTTTCATGAAAGCCATTTTGGCATTGTGCAATTCTTGTTCAAGGGAAACGGCCTTTTTAGGTAGTTTCCCCTCTAAATAATCAATGTCCTTCACTACTCTCTTTTCCAACACAGGACCAGCCTCCCTCGGTGCAGTCAACACTTTGGTAAGTGAAGAAGTTGGAACAGGATTGATGATTACATTAGGAATAACTGGAGCGGAGTTTGTTTCAACTACAACAAAACCACAGATTCAATATTCCTAAATTGATGAATAACTTTTGAAACTAGACTCATGCATCAACTGTTCTACAAAAAACTTAAGATAACCATCATAGTTAGATGTTAGGAACATTTTAAGTAAAATTTTAAAGCTACAACTTTGGGTTTAAAGAAAATATAATTTAAAGCATGTGGAAAAACTTAACATCCAAAAGTTGTCGTCAGAGCCGGCCTTGGGTGCAAACATTCAGAGCGGGCCCCTTACTACCAAAAAAGTAGTATCCTAACAATACTAACTAAAAAAATCTCAATGTATAATATTAGTATTCAAACATATAAACTTAACCCCCCTCACCCAATCCATCATGCCTTTCAATCTTGGTATTTTGCACTAGGAGCGCCCCCCCCCCCCCCCAAAAGGTTTGGGGCTATGTGCAGACACACCTTTCACACGAGCCTAAGGCCAGCTCTGGTTATTGTCACAGTTCCTACAATCCCCACATAAAATTGTCTTTGCAATTACTTAAATAAATATGAGGGCTATTCAGAAAGTAATGAGTGTTCCGTCTGACGCCTCGTACTTTTAAGTACAGACGTGTTTGCCTGTGTATGTTCCTCTGTGTTACAGTGGAAATGTTATTACACTGCCAATTGCTGCAATATTCAAGTTAAAAAACATGCTGGGATTCAAGATCCTCTTAGCTGTAAAGTTCTAAAATTTGACATCCAAAATTCTTTTTGCATGACGATTGCAAACCTCACAAGGAAAATGCACACAAGATCTCCTTAATTTATTCTAATGGAAGATTTCCCCTCGACCACCTTTCAGTCCAGACTTTGCTCCAAGTAGCTTTTACTTGTTTCCCAAAATGAAGACTTAGTGATACACGGCTTAATGTCAATGAGCTTCAATCTCCGATTGGATGTCAATGAGCAGTTGAGATCACAGATGGCAAAATTCTTCAAGGGAATTTAAAAGCTCGCCCACCACTATTATAAGTGCCTCCAATTGTTTGGTAACTAAATAGACAAGTATTTTAGTTGCTCATTCTAATGTACATCGTAAAATTGTGCTTTTGATTCCGAAATCTTGCTTACTGTCTGAATAGCCCCTGTATATTAAAGATGCCTCAGTGAAGACTGGAATTTGAGTAAATGAATGTAATAGAAAGGGTTGGGCAATTTTGTTTTACAATTTTACTGAAATTACAACAAAAATCATTGAATTAAAATAATTAAAAATTGCATTACTATAGTCTGCAAGTCAGGATTAAAACCCCTGATTTTTATATTATTGAAGTAAATAGAGAGTAGTTTTAATCACTTAGCCAATATTATGTAGGTATTAAAGAAATGTACACAAAATATGATGTATCACAACATAATAAAAATTAGTTAGATTATCCTGCAAACTCCTCAGTAGAGGCTTATAAATCTTTTCCCTGGGAGCAGTGTTTCAATTTAATTTTGCTTATGCATTGCATAGCTTTGGTTCACTTTTTTTATTTACCAAGCTATTTAGAGTAATTAATTGTTAAGCTTTTTTATTATGTTTGAATTATTTAGCATATTAAAAATACTTAATATAATGCAAAAACTCGTACCTTTTCTAACAGGATTGTATATTGTTTCACTGTTGTCTTTAGGAATGCTCTTTAACGGCATCTGGTCTTTCAAAAGTTCCAACATTTTATTTTCATGTTCAAGTGTAAATGGTTCACTTTTGAATTTACAACGCCTTTGTGCGGCTCTTTTATTTTTCCACATGCTTTTGATTCTCTTCCATGCACCTTTTAATTGATCTACGTTCCTTTTGATGATATCTTCATCGGAATTGAATTCCATCACAATCTTTCTCCAACACTCCTTCTTCATAGTTTCACTTTTTTTATCATGCTGTTTCCTCTCAATAACTGGGAACTTTAAAACAAGTCTTTTCAATCTGTCGAGCTCCATTTTAGAAAAATTCACTCTCCTCTTCGTTCTGTTGTTAGTTTCTTGTGGTTTATAATAAAAATTGTCTTCAGGGAATTCTGTTATCGGAAATTCTATTGATTGTCCTGGCAACTTGGAAACACAAAATTATGATTCACTTACACACACCAACAAATCACACACACAAAAAGACAATAGTAACAACAAATCACCCATTAATTTGATATTTTTTTAACCATAAAAATACAGGCAGTTTATAAAGATGCTTGCAAGTTTAAAAAAAAACCTTAACCATCAACATAGCTGTTCAATATACCGTAGTGTGTTTCAGAATACTGTAGTCCCAATTTAGATACAGGATAAATTTGATGAATGTAATTTTCTTATAAAGAGCTTTTGGTGATTGGTTTGTTATTGGGACAGTGCCGTAACTTGTGGACGACTTCGGAAAGGTCACTGGAGAAACTGTAAGAGAACTGTAAATAGTAGAAAATTGAGTTAAGTCACTTTGTAGCTAGTATTTGTAGGCCTACATAATTGTGGTGTAAAGAAACCATCATGTTTTTAATAGAAATTTATTTAAATTGTAACATTTGTAAGGAATATTTTTATTCAGTCTTTAATTGTAATAAGTAGTGTAAATAGGTTAAATAAATTTAGTTAACTGTTTTAGTATCGTGATGCTTATTTGCAGAACCAATAATAAACTAGACTAAAACGTCACAATACACACATTTTTAGCCATGCAAAATACCACTTACAATTAAGCATTATTAAATTCAGTACATAATTAATTGTCTTTAAATATAGGCAATTCTAATCACCAATAAGACATCCAGAACAGCTATTCTAAAATTTACTTACAGGATTTATTAAACTATCCTGCGAAGATTCACAGATAACATCCTGTTTTTCTTCTTCATTATAAACATCTTCTATATGCTCTTCAACAGTTTCCTACAAAATTAAATCTTTGAAAATAGTACGATAAGTATTAATTTGTCAAGAGTTACACTAGGCCTACACAAAAAATAGATAATTTCCGTACAGCTGTAATTTATAAAAATCCAATCCATCAAAAAAAATATTTTTCCTACCTTAAACATCATCTTAAAAACATTTTTCTCTCACAAAGGCGACCACAATATATAAGGACAATCATTTTTTCATCACAAAAAAATGTTTAACACATTCACTACCAGGTGATACAAGAAAGAGGAGTGTACTGCAACGTGTTAACCAAGAAAGTTTGACAAATGTTGACGACGCCATACAGGATTTGCTGCCGCTGACGCCCTCCTCTGGCAGCGCCCCATCGGACGTGGTCCTTGCGTCGGCCCTGACGATAACCTAAATTCTTATCTTAAAGAAGAACTGGTAATATTGGAATAAATATAAATTTGAAATAAAATCTTCACCAATATTTTCAAAACTTGTAATTTCATATAAATAAATTAAATTAATATTTTGAAAATATTGGTGAAGTTTTTATTTCAAATTTATAAGCTAAATTCTATTAAACTTTTACTATCTTTTGTTAATGAAACATAGCCATCTCAAATATCACACAAATTTCCATAATAAATTATAAGACAAAATAAAAGCGTACTAATTTGTTAATCTGTTTCCTACTTGTATGAAATGAAACCCCTAAGGAAATAGAAAGTTAGGGCTTATGTACAGGGGTTCTGTTAAGATAAAATGTGAGCAAATGTTTAAAAAATATGTGGTCTTACCAAAATATAGTACATTTTATAATATTATTACCTTTTTGATACTCTCTTCCACATTTATAAAGGCAAATTTACTAGACACTGCCTCACCACTGGCAACTTTATCATCATTTGAAGGATCTTCAAGTTGTGACATTCCTAAAAATAACACATTTTAATTCTATCTTTCCACTCATAAACCATACAAAAAATGTTAAGCGTTATTCTAGAGGATATTACTAACATTAGTTTTTTGTGTCAAGGAGTGAAAATGTAGATTTGGTTAGGTACCGATGAAAACCGTAATCTTACCAATGAATACATTACCATCGTAACTCCTGTAAAACTCTGTTTTAACATGGACTGGTCAGTGTGATATAGCCTATACTGTATTTATTTTAGAATAAACTTTTGACTAATGTGTACAGAACTACAGACCACACCTGTTGTTCAATTGTGACGAAATTTTGTGGGCCTATGTTTTTTTGTCATAATCTATATATGGTATCTTCAGGAGTTTTTTATTTATTTTTTTTTTTAATTTAGATTTTAAATGGTGGTTTTCCAATAATCATCTATAAAATAACCGAAAAATCGGATTAAAAACCGCTTGAACGATTTTGTTTACAATTTAGTATTTTAGGTCATTTTCACTCAACAAAATGGTACCAACCCCATTAGGCCTACCTACAGCTCTATTAATAGCGAATTTTGTGATTTTCACAAAAACACCTTTCAAAATCTTTTGGAACAGAATAGTCAGGCTAAATATAGTCCAAGTGTGATATGATGATGATTGCTGGTTTTGATCCAAGCAAGATCTTTTCCAGATCCAGATACCATTTCTCATTGGGCTACATGAATTAACTTATTGATGCTATCTAACAAAAAGATCAACGTTTGATAGTAAGACCTCAGGGTTTGGACCGTTCTGTTTCCAAAAACGTAAAAAATGCCATTGGGGAGAAAATACATAAAATGATAATTAGACCCTACGTAGGTAATAAACTCATTGTTGTTACTTGCCCCTGAACTGGGGCCCTATTTTTGAAATGGTTGACAGTTGAGTCAATCATCAGCACTCAACTCAACCAACAACAGGATTTGGTATTTTTGAAACCCAACAGTTGGGAAGCGAGTTGGGAATCACTAGTTGAGTGACTCGTTTTGGAAATGTAGGGCATACGACCGCACGAAATTCAGATGACGTCATTTTGAACCAATCACAATGCAGAGTTCTTGCGATCTTCGATTTAACCTCTTCTTACTCTAAAATCTGACAGCTAATCTCAATCTACCATATTTCGAGACACTGAGGTAAACTGTCAACTCCGTTCTTGAGAGATTGAGGTTATGTCTTGCTTAATCTTAGAGATTGCAAAAGTACCTTAACTTATATAAACTTAAGTATTAAAAATAAAATTTATTATGGATGTTTGTTTCAGGGTGTAGCTAATTATAAGTTTAGGCATATCCTAAATACATTATTATTTGCTTTCTTCGTCTCTATTTCGGAACACATCACCTTATTTTAGTTTCCTTCAACGGTTTGTTTTATTTTTTGCTTTTTTAGGTTTTGTTATTTTTAATTGTGTTTTTATTTAGGTTAAAGCGGCTATTTGCCATTGAACTGAAAGCATATCGTAACTTAAATTAATTTGATCCCTTTATTAGGTGAATGGTATTGAAACAAACTATGATATTGTTTCTCTCTACCACAATCTTTATTACCTTAAATCATAGGTCTAATAACAATAATAGATGAGTGAACGAAGTGAACGAATCTATGTATCGTGTATAGCGGAGTCGGAGAAAAGTTGTCCGCTGGAGTATGTGTGTGTGTGTGTGTGTGTGTTCGCACCTAAAACTCAAGAACCGTTGCACTTATAGCGTTCAAATTTTGCACAAATAGTTATGACACCAGTGTAAAGACACCATTAAAATTCTAGACGATTCCACTCAGTAGTAATAATAAAATACTTAAAAAACATTTTTAAATTTGTCCCATAAGAATAACATTAGGAGCTACCTTCTTCTTCTTTTTATTTGTTTACGTTTTGCGACCAACAATTTTGTTGTCTACTTAAGACAGAGAGAACGACTTTTACTCTAAGCTCTTTCATTCATGGAGTAAACAGTTTGGCGTCTATGAATATATATCATTATAATTTCACAGCTTTCAGAATAATGTTATTTAAGCTAATTAAATTTCACAACTTTCAGAATAATAAATTGAACTTAACAATATTATTCGGCAGTTATATACCGTTTATTTTCAGTATTAAAATTCACCTTCAAATTAAAAGTATATAGGTATGTATGTATTTAGAACAAAGCAGCTTTTTACATTTTAATGTTGGCATTGAATATTAAATATTCAAAGATGTTGGTATATTTTTATACTAAAATGCTATGCGAAGGGGGGGAAAGGTCCCCGACGTAGAGAGTGGTAAAGGAAGCGGAAAGGTGAGCAGTGAAAAGAAAGGAGTACGGAAACCCTTTATGACTGTTAAATTAACGTATCTGTAATACTTAAATGCTATGGAAAAATAGAGAAACAGGTCTACGATGTACGAAGTAGTGAAGGTAATAGTGAAGGAAGTAGTCAATGCGAGCGCTGCGGAGTGTGGGGGGCCTTTATGACAGTTGGAATAATGTATCTGCAATTCTAAAAATGCTATGGGAAGGGAGAGAAACAGGTCCACGATGTAGGAAGTGGTGAAGGAAGTAGTCAATGTGAGCAGTCCGGAGTGTGGGAAGCCTTTGTGACAATTAGAATAATGTATCTGCAATTCTAAAAATGCTATGAGAAGGGAGGGAAACAGGTCCACGACACTTAGGAAGAAGTCCGGAGTGTAGAAACCCTTTGTGGCAGCTAGATTAATATACCTGCAATTAGGGATGGACGGGATTGAATTTTTAGTTCGGGACGGGACGGGACGGGATTTTTATTTCCTTCCCGATTTTCGGGACGGGACGGGACGGGATTTTTTTCTGTGCATAAAAAGAAAGTACTGTATTGCAGTTACCAAAAAAGACATACGAAATCAATTTTTACCATTTGTGGCACTGATCTATAAAAACCAAAAAATGGGTAACAATTTACAGGTACCTATAGAAACTTGTGACTCGCGGGTCACGGGGTGATCGTCTGTATGACTCACGGTCACGGCGCGATCGTCGGTATGACTCAGCGGGCACCGGGTTATCGTCGGTATGACTCCACGGTCACGGCGCGATCGTCAGTATGACTCAGCGGGCACCGGGTTATCGTCGGTATGACTCCACGGTCACAGCGTGATCGTCGTCATGACTCGCGGTCACGGCGCGATCGTCGGTATGACTCGCGGTCACGGCGCGATCGTCAGCATGACTCGCGGTCACGGCGCAATCGTCAGCATGACTCGCGGTCACGGCGCGATCGTCGTCATGACTCGTGGTCACGGCGCGATCGTCGTCATGACTCGCGGTCACGGGGTTATCGTCGGTATGACTCCACGGTCACGGCGCGATCGTCGTCATGACTCGCGGTTACGGCGCGATCGTCGTCATGACTCGCGGTCACGGGGTTATCGTCGGTATGACTCCACGGTCACGGCGCGATCGTCGTCATGACTCGCGGTCACGGCGCAATCGTCGGTATGACTCGCGGTCACGGCACGATCGTCGGTATGACTTGCGGTCACGGCGCGTACGTCGGTATGACTCCGCGGACACGGCATGATCGTCGATATGACTCGCGATCGCGGCTCGATCGTCAGCATGACTCTACCATCACGGCATGATCGTCAGTATGACTCCGCGGTCACGGCGCGATCGTCGGTATGACTTGCGGTCACGGCGCGATCGTTGGTATGACTCCGCGGTCACGGCATGATTGTCGGTATGACTCGCGATCACGGCTCGATCGTGAGCCGATCGCATGATCGTCGGTAGGACTCCGCGGTTAAGGCGCGATCGTCTGTATGACTCGCGGTCATGGCGCGATCGTCGGTAGGACGCCGCGGTCACGTCGTGATCGTCTGTATGACTCGCCATCACGGCATGATCGTCGGTATAACTCGCCATCACGGCATGATCGTCAGTATGACTCCGCGGTAACGGCGCGATCGTTGGTAGGACTCCGCGGTCACGGCGCGATCGTCGGTATGACTCGTGGTCACAGCGCGATTGTCGGTAGGACTTCGCGGTCACGGCGCGATCGTCGGTATGACTCGTGGTCACGGCGTCATCGTCGGTATGACTCGCGGTCACAGCGCGATTGTCGGTAGGACTTCGCGGTCACGGCGCGATCGTCGTTATGACTCCGCGGTCACGGCGTGACTGTCGGTATGTTTCCGCGGTCACAGCCCGATCGTCGTTATGACTCGCGGTCACGGTGCGATCGTCGGTCCAATAATCGCGGCCACGGCGCGATCGTCGTTATGACTCCGCGGTCACGGCGTAATCGTCAAAATGACTTCGTCTCCTGCGTTCGCGGACCGGACCTATCGTTCGCAATAACGGCGTTATCGGCACTCGCGAAGCGGAAAAATCGCCGACGATCGGACCAAATCCCGTCCCGAAAAATTCCCGAGTCAAATGTAATCCCGTCCCGATAATCGGGAATATTTTTTTCCCGAAAAATTCCCGAAATTTCGGGACCCGTCCATCCCTACCTGCAATACTAAAATGCTATAGGAAGGGAAGGAAACAGGTCCACGACGTAGGAAGTGGTAATGGAAGTAGTCGAGGCGAGCATTCTGGAGTGTAGAAATCCTTTGTGACAGTTAGATTAGTGTAACTGCAATTCTTAAATGCTATGGGAAGGGAGGGAAACAGGTCCACGACGTAGGAAGTGGTAATGGAAGCAGTCGAGGCGAGCATTCTGGAGTGTAGAAACCCTTTGTGACAGTTAGCTTAATGTAACTGCAATATTAAAATGCTGTAGGAAGGGAGGGAAACAGGTCCACGACGTAGGAAGCGGTGATGGAAGTAGTTGAGGCGAGCAGTCCGGAGTGTAGAAACCCTTTGTGACAGTTAGATTAGTGTAACTGCAATTCTAAAATGCTTTGGGAAGGGAGGGAAACAGGTCCATGACGTAGGAAGTGGTAATGGAAGTAGTCCAGGCGAGCAGTCCGGGGTGTAGAAACCCTTTGTGACAGATAGATTAATATA